GAAGCAGCCAAGATGTCCATCTCCTCCAACCTTGGCACGGTTTTCTTGGACCCTGGCCACTACTGCCCACTGCTGCTCAGTACTGCTCACTGCTCACTGCTCACTGCTCACTTGCCACCCAGCCACAGCTCTTCCTTTGACTTCGGAAGAGGCTCAGCCAGAATGGTGACCTTGCGACATATCTCAATGAGACTCCAAGTACTCAAAACTCCCCAAAACCCTGTCTCTAGCGGCCGGGACCTCCGAAGGCGGACCGGACGGCATTGCGGCCTGCCACAAGGCAACAAAAAAACATGCCTCAAGGCTCTTTTCCGGCCAGCGCAAGATGCCCCACAGAATTCACTTAGAGATCGCTGCTCACCTGATACATCCACTCAATCAAACTGGTGCGGAAAACCATGGTCTTTACGCCCTCTGCGAACACGTGGGCTTGCGACTCCATCGAGACACTTCATCAACTTCTTGCAAACTAAGCGCCAGCCAAGTAATAGGCCGAGTTGAATCTGGCATTCCCATGTGAGGATACGTGAAAACCCGCTATCTCGGAAGATGTCCCTGAATCACGTTTTCGTTCTTGTTTACTCTTATCGCTTTCTCGAATTTAGCATTATGCTGAACATTATCATTCTTTTTTCGCTCCTATCGTGGTATCGAGCAAAACGCACATCTGATCATCTCGGGGTGCTTCTCTTTACGTTTCAATACCGGGGGTTTTAATCATCCCTCAAGTAGCCATAGCATCATCGCAAGGTTCCAGAATTGGTTAGACTTAGACGAACTGCCGGGGCAAACGCATTGAGGGCTGCGACACTGAAACCTCATCAACTTTGCTCTGTTGGCCCTCACGTCAGCAGCGAATGCACAAGCCTCCAGAACCTCTGCCACCACCTGTGCTTCTGCTGCCTGGCGCAGACGCCCGAGAGGCACAACTTCAGACTGCCAATCTGTGCTGAAGATGCGAAAGGAGTCCCATCATTCCCATCCGAAGGACGTCTGTTTGGCTACGCTTACCTTCAAACTATCTTCTTGGCACATGCATACGTGCAGGCTCACTAGTGAATCTCTTGCTTACTGCATCCCAGTCCTCACCGGCCGATGATGCTGGGAAGGTCCCTGCACGTTGTCTTCGATCCACAGTGCCAAGTTCTAGAATCTAGAACTGTTGATGCTGGACAGTCACGCAGTCACACGGCCAAGCACGCTTGCCTGCACTGAGGGGTCGAACTTCTGGGCTCGCCTTGGCCATGAAACTCGTCGGACGCTTGTTCCAGCGCAACACTGCAATTCCACATTGTTTGACTTTGGACAGACCTGAGTTCCAAAGTCCTGTACGGAGGACATCGCTGCATCAACCGACTCGATCGCCTTCCAGAAACGACTTCCACGACCACTTGCTCTAACTCAACATGTTTCCGGATGCTGGTTAGCTCAAAGGCAACTCCGTCCACGTCCACAACTTCTTCACGCAAAACAACATAAGACAACCGCTCTCTAGTGATAGCTCGCAAGGCGTTGCTGGCGTCTTGCGGCCGTGCGGCGACGCATTCAACTTTTCCGAGGGGCACAGGGGAGGGGGGGTCTTGCGGGCGCTAATTTTGGCGCTGGGTTGGAACTTGACAATCAGGGGCTTTCGGGGAACCGATAGCATGCGTAACATTGGCGAAGACAACCTGGTCTCGGAAACACGCCTGGGTTGAGTGGCACGCGCACCCACGCAAACGCGCGAATTTGCGAAAAGCAACGCCGTAGGTAAACCCCAGCGCCCATGAGAATCCATGACGGCACCTTGCTGGGATGCTCGGAAGTCTCGGGCATGCCCGGCAGATCCTTCAGGGAGGTGTTGGCAGGCTCTGAGGCTTGGGGCTTAAGGGTTATGTGGAACAATGCAGCCTTTTTTTGGACAGCCGATGTCAACAGCCTTTTTGAGTGTCGTGCAGCTCACATCTATGTCCATCGTGCGTGGAGTACCCTTGCCTCCAGGTCACCAGCGGGAAGTCCAGCTTTCAGCGAAGCAGCCAAGATGTCCATCTCCTCCAACCTTGGCACGGTTTTCTTGGACCCTGGCCACTACTGCCCACTGCTGCTCAGTACTGCTCACTGCTCACTGCTCACTGCTCACTTGCCACCCAGCCACAGCTCTTCCTTTGACTTCGGAAGAGGCTCAGCCAGAATGGTGACCTTGCGACATATCTCAATGAGACTCCAAGTACTCAAAACTCCCCAAAACCCTGTCTCTAGCGGCCGGGACCTCCGAAGGCGGACCGGACGGCATTGCGGCCTGCCACAAGGCAACAAAAAAACATGCCTCAAGGCTCTTTTCCGGCCAGCGCAAGATGCCCCACAGAATTCACTTAGAGATCGCTGCTCACCTGGTACATCCACTCAATCAAACTGGTGCGGAAAACCATGGTCTTTACGCCCTCTGCGAACACGTGGGCTTGCGACTCCATCGAGACACTTCATCAACTTCTTGCAAACTATGCGCCAGCCAAGTAATAGGCCGAGTTGAATCTGGCATTCCCATGTGAGGATACGTGAAAACCCGCTATCCCGGAAGATGTCCCTGAATCACGTGTTTTCGTTCTTGTTTACTCTTATCGCTTCCTCGAATTTAGCATTATGCTGAACATTATCATTCTTTTTTCGCTCCTATCGTGGTATCGAGCAAAACGCACATCTGATCATCTCGGGGTGCTTCTCTTTACGTTTCAATACCGGGGGTTTTAATCATCCCTCAAGTAGCCATAGCATCATCGCAAGGTTCCAGAATTGGTTAGACTTAGACGAACTGCCGGGGCAAACGCATTGAGGGCTGCGACACTGAAACCTCATCAACTTTGCTCTGTTGGCCCTCACGTCAGCAGCGAATGCACAAGCCTCCAGAACCTCTGCCACCACCTGTGCTTCTGCTGCCTGGCGCAGACGCCCGAGAGGCACAACTTCAGACTGCCAATCTGTGCTGAAGATGCGAAAGGAGTCCCATCATTCCCATCCGAAGGACGTCTGTTTGGCTACGCTTACCTTCAAACTATCTTCTTGGCACATGCATACGTGCAGGCTCACTAGTGAATCTCTTGCTTACTGCATCCCAGTCCTCACCGGCCGATGATGCTGGGAAGGTCCCTGCACGTTGTCTTCGATCCACAGTGCCAAGTTCTAGAATCTAGAACTGTTGATGCTGGACAGTCACGCAGTCACACGGCCAAGCACGCTTGCCTGCACTGAGGGGTCGAACTTCTGGGCTCGCCTTGGCCATGAAACTCGTCGGACGCTTGTTCCAGCGCAACACTGCAATTCCACATTGTTTGACTTTGGACAGACCTGAGTTCCAAAGTCCTGTACGGAGGACATCGCTGCATCAACCGACTCGATCGCCTTCCAGAAACGACTTCCACGACCACTTGCTCTAACTCAACATGTTTCCGGATGCTGGTTAGCTCAAAGGCAACTCCGTCCACGTCCACAACTTCTTCACGCAAAACAACATAAGACAACCGCTCTCTAGTGATAGCTCGCAAGGCGTTGCTGGCGTCTTGCGGCCGTGCGGCGACGCATTCAACTTTTCCGAGGGGCACAGGGGAGGGGGGGTCTTGCGGGCGCTAATGTTGGTGCTGGGTTGGAACTTGAAAATCAGGGGCTTTCGGGGAACACGATAGCATGCGCTAACATTGGCGAAGACAACCTGGTCTCGGAAACACGCCTGGGTTGAGTGGCACGCCCACCCACTCAAACGCGCGAATTCAATCTGTGAAAAGCAACGCCGTAGCTGCCTAGGCAACGTGCGGTAGCGCGCGCAAGGTTGCAGTCGAAGAGAGATACCACCTCCTGACCAGGCACCTTGGGTTGGAACCTAAAGAGCGGCTTTCGGGGAACACGATAACATACACTAGTATTGGCGAAGACAACCTGGTCTAGGAAAAATGTCTGGGTTGAGTGGCACGCGCAGCCACGCAAGCGCGCGAGTTTAAGAAAAGTGACGCTTCGCAGAAAAAGTTGCACGATGAGGTTCCCGAAAAGGGACGCCTGCTTGCGACGAAAGACACACTTTCAGGATTTCCCTCGGCATGTATGTGGATGCGTGTGCTCAAGGACAGCAGCTTCGTCAGAAGACCGGCTCAACCAGGTAAACCCGTAGGTAAACCCCAGCGCCCATGAGAATCCATGACGGCACCTTGCTGGGATGCTCGGAAGTCTCGGGCATGCCCGGCAGATCCTTCAGGGAGGTGTTGGCAGGCTCTGAGGCTTGGGGCTTAAGGGTTATGTGGAACAATGCAGCCTTTTTTTGGACAGCCGATGTCAACAGCCTTTTTGAGTGTCGTGCAGCTCACATCTATGTCCATCGTGCGTGGAGTACCCTTGCCTCCAGGTCACCAGCGGGAAGTCCAGCTTTCAGCGAAGCAGCCAAGATGTCCATCTCCTCCAACCTTGGCACGGTTTTCTTGGACCCTGGCCACTACTGCCCACTGCTGCTCAGTACTGCTCACTGCTCACTGCTCACTGCTCACTTGCCACCCAGCCACAGCTCTTCCTTTGACTTCGGAAGAGGCTCAGCCAGAATGGTGACCTTGCGACATATCTCAATGAGACTCCAAGTACTCAAAACTCCCCAAAACCCTGTCTCTAGCGGCCGGGACCTCCGAAGGCGGACCGGACGGCATTGCGGCCTGCATCTCCGGCCAGCACGAGATGCCCCACAAGAGACGCCAAGCCACAGAACTCACTTAGAACTCCCAAACTTTGCATACTGATCCAAGTCACTTATCGGGCACCGGGCGCTGAGACATAGCGTCCTGGAAAACCAAAAGCCCAAGAGCCTGAGGCCCCATATGCTAACAGCCACTCCCTACTTCTGAGGGCTTCGTGAAAACAATTGACAATCAACAAAAGTGCAAAACAGGTGCAAGGCTCATTGTGAGCACTTGCCCTGGTGGTGGCCACAAAGAAACGGCCACAGCGACATCGGCCAGTCGAACGCATGCAGCCGTGGTCAGGGCAGTTAATCAGCCGCTTAGGACTTCCGGCTTCAGTGTCTTTGACTTGCCGTCAATGACGAGCTGGCTCACACCATAGTGTCGTACTATGTAATTGAACGGCTTGCCGCCGGAAGAAAGGTTGTTGATGGCATCCTTCGCGGCATTGAAATGGATAGTGATCGACCCATCTGGATTCGGCTTCCACATCTTGCTGTTGATGTGGGTTTCACCATTCATCAAGTATCCGTCTTCATCATACAATGTGAAGGAGGTGAAGAACTTGTTCTTTGGATCCTCGAAGGTGATGGCACGCGCCACATCTCCGGACATGGCTTCTGAGGTGTAGTAGGCGTTGGACATATGTAATTCCTCACTGGCTGAGTTTTCGGGGGAGAGAAAGGCTGACCTTCCGGGCTTAAGAGAATGGATCCATGGGCAGAGAGGTTGGAAAGTTCTAGGTTCTAGGTGACACACGGACATGAATGAACCTGCTCACCGAAGAATCCGGCTCCATACCACCCCACCCTGCCGCATGCGACAAGTCCAGGATGTGCTGGTCGAATCGGCCCGGCCCCTTTGCATACGTGGTGGTACCACCTGCTTTGAGCCACTCCGCCTTGTATTCGCGGCGCAGCTTCGCTAACTGCTCCTGGTCATACTCCGGCATCTTGTAGGAGCTGTCCTCCAACATGCCAGTCACTTTGAGCTTGTCCTGTGCAGCGCGGGCCACCTTGAGCAGCTCTTCGGACCTGCGGTCGAGAATCTCGGTGCGAAAGATGATCAGGGCATACTCGGTATCGACCTTCACTCGGTGATCTCTGCCCTTCTCGATGATGTAGTAGGGAGCAAAGCCGTTCTCATCAAGCACATGAGCCGCCATGTAGAGCTCCTCGTCCGGGAGGTGGATGGTGAAGCTTTTGTCGTCCGCGACTCTGACGATTCGAACTGAGTAGAGGGTGTCCCAATTCATCCGGACAGTCGGGGCATGGTGTCCTGTCGGCGCCACTTCACGGTAGTGGAATATCGCCTGGTCGGCTCCAAGCTTAGCCCAGTTTGCAAAGTTTTTCGCGGTCTCTGCCTGAGCGAAATTCTCGGCAGTGACCGGAATGGTTGTGGACTCCATGGCCGTGGAGCAGTTGAGCCTTCTTCAGTCGAAAACTGCGATCCCGCTGATCTTACACGCTACAAGCTGCATTGAGTATACTGCGTTGAACAAATCACGCGATGTATCTACTCAACAAAACTGTTACATTGACCACGGTCTTTCTCTGCGAATGCGTGGGCTTGCGACTTCATCGAGAAACTTCATCAACTTCAGGTCTTGGAGAAGAAGCACCGATCATTAGGCCGAGCTCAAGTTTGCATCCCCTCCGAACAATAGCACGATCGCAAGGTTTTAGCGTGGATCAGACGAACTGCCGGAGAAAAGACATTGAGCGCTGCAAACTCTGGAGTTCTACATCCAAAAACCGCGCATGACAAAGCGACTGTAGTAAGAAGGAAATTATGCCATTATAAGGCCCCTATAAAGTCAATGAAAAAATGGGGCCTTTTATACTTCGTCATTCGAAACTGCTCTCTAACCCTTTTCATCGTGGAAATGAACCCCTTAACAGTACTTTCCCCTTCACCTATCCTGTCATGCCTGCTGTTCGTGTCTTCGATCGCCGTCAATAATAACAAAAGAATACAACAGCTCCCTTGCGGTGGAGATATGATCATTAGGCTGGGAATAACATTAGTAGACACGGGCATATTAACCTTGTTCTGTTGACCCTCAAGTCAGCAGCCGATGCGCAAGCCTCCAGAACCTCAGCCGCCATCCGTGCTTCGACTGCCTGGCCAAGACAGCGCATTGGACTGCGAATCTGAGTTGAAGCTGCATTTCCCGACCCCAACTGCAAACGTCTGTGTGGCTACGCGTACCTTCAGTCACCTTCTTGGCATTCATACGTGCAGGCTTAGTATTGAATCTCTGGCTTACCGCATCCCAGTCCTCACCCGCCGATGATGCCGGAAAGGTCCCTGCCAATGTTGCTCGATCCGAAGTGCCAAGTTCCAGAACGTCGTTTGCTGTCACGCAATCATGCCGCATGCCAAGCTTGCCGCCTGCGCTGAGGGGTCGAGCTTCCGGCCTCGCCTTCAGAACGCATCAGGCGCTTCTTCTAGGAAGCCAATAACCCGCATCCTCTGGACAGCACCTGAGTTCCGAAGTCCTGCACGGCGCACATGATGGCCGCATCAACAGACTCCGTCGCCTTCCACAACCAGCCGTCACGGCGGAGCGCAAGCTGCAGCAGGTCGCCTACACGGGTGCGCCTGCGAAGCCACCACGGACACCGCTTCTTCCCGTCCGCCAGCGCGGCAGGCAGCATGTATCAACTCCTTGAAAGGGCGAGAGTTGAAAGGATAACAGAGAATCAGAGCTGCCACGGGTCGGGAGAAATGCCCCACTGCCCCCCGAATCCCCCCCAAACGCCGCCGGTCCGTGGCCAAGTCCAGCTCTGATGTGCCTGCAGAGGTGTGACCTGCACGTGATTGCGCGGGCATAGGGCAGGGGCAGGGGAGGTGCTTGCACGATGATGCACAATGACGCACAATGGCGCAGAAGCACAACGATGCACGTGCAGCCGGCGGACCCGAAGCGCCACTTCGAGGCGTGTCCCGCGCCTGTCACAACTGGCAGTTCATCGCAGCTCGTGCACGGCAAGCTTTCCCGATCCGACGGCCTCATGAGCAGCAGAAGGTGGCTCAGTGGCAACGAGAGCCTGCATCTCCTGTAGCTCCTCCTGCCATCGAGCTGGAAGTACACATGCAACACGTGGCTGCCGGAAATGGCCAGGTGAAGGCTACAACAAAAACAGCTTCTCTGAACATCTCCGAGCCTGCTCGGGGGCCAGAGTGGCCACCTTCCAAGATCCGTGTCGTGCTGTGCTTCAGCAATCGTCCAAATTCTGATCAGCATACCAGCACCTTTGACCTCTTGCCAAAGATACCCCGTCGAACCCTGCTGGCCAGCCTCCGCTTCGACCTCGTCGTCCTCTGCCCGGACGCCGCTTGGAAGGTCAGCCAGCCCAGCCGTCAGCGAGGCCGCCAGCACGTCCATCTCCTGATGCCTCGGCTGCACTCTCAAGAGATGGGCTCGCAGCAGGCCACTATATCATGTCCGAAACTGCCATGCCAGGCATCTGCGCAACTGAAGGCTAGCTGCAGCTCGTCTTTTGTCTTGGGGACGTGATCTAGCAAGACGGTTGCCTTCAAACACGGATGCGTGGCATCAAGCGCCAGCGCCAAACCAGCACACGCTTCACGAGCATGTTGCAACAGCTTGTACTGGCGGGAAGCAACCGACATGCCTCTGAAGGCGGGGCCGAAGTTCGCGGTGGCAGCAGTGCCTCCGGCTGCATGCCAAGCATTCACCGACCATGCACTGCTGTATGCCTCTAGTATACTACAGTGGCACACGTGTGCCTCCACTTCCACATCCGCATCCCCTGCGTCAGTCGCCAACACATTGTCCAGGCCAGCCGTCAGGGAAGCAGCCAGCACATCCAGCTCTTGGCGCCTGGGTTGTGATCAGATCACACGTAACAATCATAAACGACGCGAGTGGCAAGGGTGTCACTCCCCGCTCCCTACCCAAGAGCAGGCAAGCTGCAGCTCGTCTTTTGTCTTGGGGACGTGCTCCACCATGATGGTTGCCTGCAAGACGTTGAACCGCGTTGATCGCAGAAACGCGAAAAATCAAAACGACGCACGCGTCACTGTAGCTGCTACATGCTGCTACTGATAGGAGGCAGCGCAAGTGCCTCTGAAGGCGGCCCCGATGTGCGAGGCGGCAACAGTGCCTCCAGCTGCAAAACAAGGTGGCATCGAGCGGATGGGTGGCCGGGTCGCTGGCAGCATGAGAGATACTGTGAGATACTGGTGCAGGCGGCAGCACGCGTGCCTCCACTTCGACATCATCGCCCCCTGCGAGGTTGTCCAAACCCACAGTCAGAGAAGCAGCCAAAACATCCATCTCCATGCGCCTGGGCTGTGATCAGACGCGTAAACACATTGCAAGACTGGAAAGCGTGCATCGTCTGCATCGTCTGACAGCGAGCAAGCTGCAGCTCGTCTGTCGTCTTGGGGATGTGCTCCAGCATCACCGTTGCCTTCGTATACATGTCATGTACTGCATATTGCTTCATCTCGGACATGGAGCACACAGTGGGGCACCTCAGAAGGTGGGTCGGATGGATGTCGACTGCCGTGCACCTAAGCCGAGTCACGGGGTTTCCCTTATGGCATATGGGTTCGGCAACGTCGTGTTGCGCAGCTCGTCCCCAGTTTGCCGCCCTCCCTCCCTCCCTCCCTCCCTCCCTCCCTCCCGCCCTCCCTTGCCTCCAGGTCATCGGCATGAAGTCCGGCTGTGAGCGAAGCCGCCAGGATGTCCATCTCTTCCAGCCTCGGGCTTCTGGTGCCCACTCTCCAAACTGAGTGGCTCCGGGCTGACTTGCTGCTGCTCACTTGCCGCCCAGTTGCAACTCTTCCTTCGACTTCGGAAGAGGTTCGTCGAGAGGAATGGCCTCGACACTGTCGTATTCAGGTCACCCCAGGCCCTGCGGCCGCCCCTGCAATCAGTCCCAGCTATCTTTTCGCACATCAACCGTGGCCTCAGACACGCTCGCAGGAGGCATCGCAGCCTGTGGCAGGGAAAAAGCACGGGAAAAGGCCGACCCGCACATCGCGGACAAGCCTCCAGAACCTCCGCCACCACCTGTGCTTCTGCTGCCTGGCGCAGAGCCCGAAAGACATTGCCCTAGACTGCGAACATGCACTGAAGCTGCACAAGGAGTCCCCCGTCGTTCCCAGGCAAACTCATACGTGTTGCTTACTGTTGAACCTGTTGCTTACTGCATCCCAGTCCTCGCCGACTGAAGATGCTGGGAAGGTCCCTGCCGTGCTTAGATTCTGCTTTTCAAAGCGGAAAGTCGCAGTGACAAGCTCGCTGCCTGCGCTGAGGGGTCGCACTTCCGGCGTCGCCTTCAGAATGCATCTGGCGCTTGTTCCAGGAAGCCAGTAAGCCACATTCTTGGCACAGCACCTGGGTTCCGAAGTCCTGCACGGCGCACACCACGGCCGCCGCATCAACAGACTCGGTCGCCTTCCACAAACCAGCTGGCTATCACGGGAAAATCTTGCAAACTTCGTAGAAGCGGGCAGAGTGCAAGCTGTAGCAGGTCGCCCGCACACGTGCGCCTGCGAAACCACCAGAGACACGGCTTCTTCCCGTCCGCCAGCGCGGCAGGCAGCATGCACCAGCTCCTTGAGAGTGCCAGAGATGCCACGGGTCAGGAGAAATGCCCCACCCCACTGCCCCCCAATCCCCCCTAAACGCCGCCGGTCCGTGGCCAAGTCCAGCTCTGATGTGCCTGCAGAGGTGTGACCTGCACGTGATTGCACAGGCATAATTAGGGCAGGGGCAGGGGAGGTGCTGCACGACGATGCACAATGACGCACAATGGCGCGGAAGCACAACGATGCACGTGCAGCCGACGGACCTGAAGCGCCACTTCGAGGCGTGTCCCGCTCCTGTCACAACTGGCAGTTCATCGCAGCTCGTGCACGGCAAGCTTTCCCGATCCGACGGCCTCATGAGCAGCAGGCGAAGGTGGCTCAGTGGCAACGAGAGCTTGCATCTCCTGTAGCTCCTCCTGCCATCGAGCTGGAAGTACACATGCAACACGTGGCTGCAGGAAATGGCCAGGTAAAGGCTACAACAACAACAGCTTCTCTGAACATCTCCGAGCCTGCTCGGGGGCCAGAGTGGCCACCTTCCAAGATCCGTGTCTTGCTGTGCTGCAGCAATCGTCCAAGTTCTGATCGGCATATCAGCACCTTTGACCTCTTGCCAAAGATACCCCGTCGAACCCTGCTGGCTTGCCAGCCTCCGCTTCGACCTCGTCGTCCTCTGCCCGGACGCCGCTTGGAAGGTCAGCCAGCCCAGCCGTCAGCGAGGCCGCCAGCACGTCCATCTCCTGATGCCTCGGCTGCACTCTCAAGAGATGGGCTCGCAGCAGGCCGCTATATCATGTCCGAACCTGCCAGGCATCTGCGCAACTGAAGGCTAGCTGCAGCTCGTCTTTTGTCTTGGGGACGTGATCTAGCAAGACGGTTGCCTTCAAACACGGATGCGTGGCATCAAAGCGCTAGCGCCAAACCAGCACACGCTTCACGAGCATGTTGCGACAGCTTGTACGGGCGGGAAGCAACCGACATGCCTCTGAAGGCGGGGCCGAAGTTCGAGGTGGCAGCAGTGCCTCCGGCTGCATGCCAAGCATTCACCGACCATGCACTGCTGTATTCCTCTAGTATACTACAGTGGCACACGCGTGCCTCCACTTCCACATCCGCATCCCCTGCGTCTGTCGCCACCACGTTGTCCAGGCCAGCCGTCAGGGAAGCAGCCAGGACATCCAGCTCTTGGCGCCTGGGTTGTGATCAGATCACACGTAACAATCATAAACGACGCGAGTGGCAAGGGTGTCACTCCCCGCTCCCTACCCAAGAGCAGGCAAGCTGCAGCTCGTCTTTTGTCTTGGGGACGTGCTCCACCATGATGGTTGCCTGCAAGACGTTGAACCGCGTTGATCGCAGAAACGCGAAAAATCAAAACGACGCACGCGTCACTGTAGCTGCTACATGCTGCTACTGATAGGAGGCAGCGCAAGTGCCTCTGAAGGCGGCCCCGATGTGCGAGGCGGCAACAGTGCCTCCAGCTGCAAAACAAGGTGGCATCGAGCGGATGGGTGGCCGGGTCGCTGGCAACATGAGAGATACTGTGAGATACTGGTGCAGGCGGCAGCACGCGTGCCTCCACTTCGACATCATCGCCCCCTGCGAGGTTGTCCAAACCCACAGTCAGAGAAGCAGCCAAAACATCCATCTCCATGCGCCTGGGCTGTGATCAGACGCGTAAACACATTGCAAGACTGGAAAGCGTGCATCGTCTGCATCGTCTGACAGCGAGCAAGCTGCAGCTCGTCTGTCGTCTTGGGGATGTGCTCCAGCATCACCGTTGCCTTCGTATACATGTCATGTACTGCATATTGCTTCATCTCGGACATGGAGCACACAGTGGGGCACCTCAGAAGGTGGGTCGGATGGATGTCGACTGCCGTGCACCTAAGCCGAGTCACGGGGTTTCCCTTATGGCATATGGGTTCGGCAACGTCGTGTTGCGCAGCTCGTCCCCAGTTTGCCGCCCTCCCTCCCTCCCTCCCTCCCTCCCTCCCTCCCGCCCTCCCTTGCCTCCAGGTCATCGGCATGAAGTCCGGCTGTGAGCGAAGCCGCCAGGATGTCCATCTCTTCCAGCCTCGGGCTTCTGGTGCCCACTCTCCAAACTGAGTGGCTCCGGGCTGACTTGCTGCTGCTCACTTGCCGCCCAGTTGCAACTCTTCCTTCGACTTCGGAAGAGGTTCGTCGAGAGGAATGGCCTCGACACTGTCGTATTCAGGTCACCCCAGGCCCTGCGGCCGCCCCTGCAATCAGTCCCAGCTATCTTTTCGCACATCAACCGTGGCCTCAGACACGCTCGCAGGAGGCATCGCAGCCTGTGGCAGGGAAAAAGCACGGGAAAAGGCCGACCCGCACATCGCGGACAAGCCTCCAGAACCTCCGCCACCACCTGTGCTTCTGCTGCCTGGCGCAGAGCCGGAAAGACAGGAAGACAGTGAATCCAAGAGTCAAGGAAAATTAACTCTGAAGTTAATTGACCGGCATCGGGCCGGCCCGGGCCGGCTCGACGCCCCTTAGGTCCAGCACAATTAACTCTCGATTTAATTGCCTGTTGACGTCGCGCGACGCAGCATGCCATGCCGGCAAGCTTCTCAAGGAAAACAATTAAATCAGGATGTACTTGTTTCTGCTAGACGATCCCAACCCGCAGAAACAATTAAATCACGATTTAATTGTTCCCCCCTACCTTTCAACAATTAAATCACGATTTAATTGTTCCCCCTAAAGTAATAATAATAATAGTAGTAATAATAATAGTAATAGTAATAATAATAATAATAGTAATAATAATAATAATAGTAATAGTAATAATAATAGTAGTAATAATAGCAATAGTAATAATGATAATAATAGGAATAATAATAATAATAAGAACAATAATAATAATAATAGTAACAATAAGAAGAAGAAGAATAGTAATAGTAGTAGAAATAGTAATAGTAATAATAATCATGATAATAATAGGAATAATCATAGTAGTAACAATAAGAAGAAGAAGAATAGCAATAGCAATAGCAATAGCAATAGCAATAGCAATAACAATAGCAATAGTAATAGTAATAGTAATAGTAATAGTAATGGTAATAGTAATAGTAATAGATAGTAATAGTAATAGTAATATAGTAATAGTAATAGTAATAGTAATAATAGTAATAGTAATAAGAAAATAATAATAAGAAGAAGAATAAGGATAATAATAGTAGTAAACATAATAATCATAGGAATAATAATAGTAATAGTAATAATAATACTAAGAATATTAATAATAATAATAAGACAATTGGTAATAGTAATAATAAGACTAATCGTAATAGGAATAATAAGACTAATAGTAATAGTAATAATAAGACTAATAATAATAGCAATAATAATAGTGCAATTAAATCATGATTTAATGGTGCAAACAGGTACCAATTAGCACAAGTCTTTGCTGCACCATTAACTCACGATTTAATTGTCTTCCAGTCAAACGCAAAGAAACACAATTAAATCACGATTTAATTGTGTTTTTGTAGGGATAAGGTATGTCGAGGTAGGTCAAAACCCAACCCAGAAGCAACAATTAAATCAGGATTTAATTCTTTTTAACTTCTGGATTCATGGGTTTTCCCGAAAGACATTGCCCTAGACTGCGAACATGCACTGAAGCTGCACAAGGAGTCCCCCGTCGTTCCCAGGCAAACTCATACGTGTTGCTTACTGTTGAACCTGTTGCTTACTGCATCCCAGTCCTCGCCGACTGAAGATGCTGGGAAGGTCCCTGCCGTGCTTAGATTCTGCTTTTCAAAGCGGAAAGTCGCAGTGACAAGCTCGCTGCCTGCGCTGAGGGGTCGCACTTCCGGCGTCGCCTTCAGAATGCATCTGGCGCTTGTTCCAGGAAGCCAGTAAGCCACATTCTTGGCACAGCACCTGGGTTCCGAAGTCCTGCACGGCGCACACCACGGCCGCCGCATCAACAGACTCGGTCGCCTTCCACAACCAGCTGGCTATCACGGGAAAATCTTGCAAACTTCGTAGAAGCGGGCAGAGTGCAAGCTGTAGCAGGTCGCCCGCACACGTGCGCCTGCGAAACCACCAGAGACACGGCTTCTTCCCGTCCGCCAGCGCGGCAGGCAGCATGCACCAGCTCCTTGAGAGTGCCAGAGATGCCACGGGTCAGGAGAAATGCCCCACTGCCCCCCAATCCCCCCTAAACGCCGCCGGTCCGTGGCCAAGTCCAGCTCTGATGTGCCTGCAGAGGTGTGACCTGCACGTGATTGCACAGGCATAATTAGGGCAGGGGCAGGGGAGGTGCTGCACGACGATGCACAATGACGCACAATGGCGCGGAAGCACAACGAAGCACGTGCAGCCGACGGACCTGAAGCGCCACTTCGAGGCGTGTCCCGCTCCTGTCACAACTGGCAGTTCATCGCAGCTCGTGCACGGCAAGCTTTCCCGATCCGACGGCCTCATGAGCAGCAGGCGAAGGTGGCTCAGTGGCAACGAGAGCTTGCATCTCCTGTAGCTCCTCCTGCCATCGAGCTGGAAGTACACATGCAACTGGCTGCCGGAAATGGCCAGGTAAAGGCTACAACAACAACAGCTTCTCTGAACATCTCCAAGCCTGCTCGGGGGCCAGAGTGGCCACCTTCCAAGATCCGTGTCTTGCTGTGCTGCAGCAATCGTCCAAGTTCTGATCGGCATATCAGCACCTTTGACCTCTTGCCAAAGATACCCCGTCGAACCCTGCTGGCTTGCCAGCCTCCGCTTCGACCTCGTCGTCCTCTGCCCGGACGCCGCTTGGCAGGTCAGCCAGCCCGCCGACCGTCAGCGAGGCCGCCAGCACATCCATCTCCTGGCGCCTCAGAAAACATGGGAACTGCTGAATGTCGCCAAGTGGCTGCCTTGGTGGCTGCACCATGCTGCATCAAGCTGCAATCAAGCTGCAGCTCATCCTTGGTTTTGGGGATGTGCTCAGGTATGACGGTCGCCTTCGCAGACTTGAAGCAGGGAGTTTGATGCTCAAGAGCCTTGTGGATTCAATCGGCCCTCAAACCCAAAAGCCTAAACCTTAGGTATCCCTAAGCCCCAAACACAAAGTGCCTCTGAAGGGGGACCCGATGGCCGCGGCAGCAACAGCGCCTGCAATTTCGAACATACACCTGTACAGTTCTCTAGGGTATTGCGTTTCTCTGTGGGTTCCTACTCTACCAAGGAGCCTGTATCTAGGATATCCAGGAAGGTCCCGTAGTTTAAAGAACAATCCCAAACCGGGGTGTGGGTGTCTGATACCTGCCATTGACCTGCTAAGCGTCCTGAACCACCAGCCCTTGTGTGTTGCACATCTGTTCTAATTGGCATACGTCGCAAGGCCTGCGCCACAGCGACGTCTTTGGACTCATCCGCGACTGGCTCCTCTTGAATCGGCGTTAATTCCCGGGCCTGGCATGAGGTGCGGCATGAAGGAAAAGCTGCACAAACGCACCAACTTCTGTCAAGGCAAGGATCTCCGTGAAAGCAGATCCCGATATTGGCATCTGCCCGTCTCAAAAGTGTCACCACCCCAAGATGAAACTCCAGGCGCTTTTCTTCGTTTCGAAACAAATGAGACAAATTCGACTCATTGGACTCAGAGCAGACTCACGCGACCGAACTCAGGGCCTCCAGATCCATCTCCTCGTAGTCTGAGGGCCCCGACTCCTGCCCAGACGGTTTCGATGCCTCGAACTGCCTCTACACAGCGCGGCCACTGGCCTCCAAGCCCAGGTCTGAAGGCAGCTCCGAGCTGTATGTCAGGGAGGCCCTCAAGACATCGATTTCGTCCAGCCTCAAAGGGCTTCGGGACAGCTTTCTCAAAACTCTGCGCCATGCTGCGCCTCCCTGCGGCCCTACCCCAGTGCCAGTATCACAATCGCAGCCGCGCTTCAGCTCGTCTTTCGTCCTCGCGGTCTCTGCTGGCATGATCGTCACCTGCCCAAGCTGTCCAGGGAGTTTAGGGCTTAGATGGGCCCCCTCTTCGCATCTCCCGCCTCCGACGGAGACCTTGAGATCAGGATGATGGGCGAGTCGTCCTCGCACCGGAATTCTGTGGGAAAAGTCGTGAGACGACACCTTGCCAGGCCTCCGTGGCGACTTCTTCAGACACTGCATTGGAAGCCTGCAACGGTAGTGCAGCTGCGCTGAAGAGGACCATCTTGCGTCTGCAAGACACAGCAGATTTTGAGAATCGTGGGCCCACCTGCGCGGGGGGCTGCGCATCTTCAGCCCCCGTGCGAGCGACGTCTGCTTCCTCACGTTGCACAACAACTCGATCCACATGAGGCACCCATGCTCAGGTCCTCCATCGAGCTCTGGCCATCTGCTGCAGCCTTGGCAAACTGTTTCCTAAGACCTCCACGTGGGCGTAAGTCTTATGCACATTGGTGGGTATCGGTCGTCTGACCTTCGGCCCCGAGCCCAAGCACCCGCATCCTCCGCAATGTCGGGGAGCGGCACCGGCAACAGGTCCACGACACTCCCACTACCTCGCGAGAATACCTGCTCACGGGGATGAGTTTGGGATCTCACACAGACTCAGGCCAGCTGCTCCCCAGGCCCTCATGCTCAGCCCTCCGAGCCCTCTCAGCCCTCTCAGCGCGTCTGGCGCTGAACTCGCCAGCCCCATATCTCCGACTTGAACCTTCAACTCCGGAGGCCTCCGAGGGCCGTCTGGACCTGCAGAGGCTTCGGGTTCGGCTCGGGATGGCTTTAGGGGTTGGGGATGCTTACCAGGGGAGTCTTTGGTCCAGTCTTGAGGGCTTATGAGGGCAGGAAGTTGAGGGTGTCGTGAGGGGCAGGCATGGCCCAACCCAGACATCCTGGAAAGCAAACCATCAAAGCAGACGACTCAGCATTCTGGGGTTTAGAGGCCCCAAAAAGGCTTTCAGCCTCGCAGTGGACGCGCTCTCCTGAAGATCATCCAGGCAGAATGCCACGATCTCTTGGCTCACGGCAGACCTGGGAGATCGCGGGATGCCGGTCGTCAAAGGCTATACGGGGGTTTACGATAATAATGGACTCTAATATAGACCCCCAAATACTAGCATCCCCGTATAATGAGGACACCAGTAAGGCACAACCCTAAAATCGTAAAACCCATATAAGCGTCGCAGCCCACGGTCTGCCCGTCCTTCCGCCAAGCTGCGCCATACATGATGCCGGCTGGCTGCCAGCCTCGGAAGCCTCCCACAATCAACATGGGCAAAGCAGACGATTGAGTACACCACCGCAGCTCTGTGCCGAACACGTGGATGTGCTGCTGCCTCGGCCACGTCCCTGGAGGCTGCAGCAAGGGCGCTGCTGCCCAGGGCCTGATGCCCGCGTGTGGAGCGGGGGCATAAGTGTTTGTGTGCTGCTTCGGAACGCCGCCTCTCTTGCATGCTTTGAGTTGGCTTCGGTGCAGATGCTGGCCTTCGACAGCTCTTCAGACAAGGGGGCCGACGTGCCCTCGGACACCACAATGGATGCAACCAGAGATGTGGCCCGCTCCTGTGACAGGGCTGCATCCGCTTGTGTCTGCTGGTAGCTGGTCCTGGCATGTTCTGGCCTCCTCTGCCTGGGGGCGCACCGCCTGCGGCACCTGCGTAGCAGCAAAGCTTGCCCTTCGGCAAGTCGGATGACAAGAGTAGCCAGACTGGCAGACTTAGAGACTGCAAAGCGAGACCGTCGAAGCCGAAGGCTCGCAAGCAGCAGCTGGAACCATGGGAGGCAGCAGTTGTGCAAGAACATGGGATTGCAGATGGCAAAGCGAGGACATGGAGACAGCGGTAGGTGACAAACATCAAGTTGAAGCATGGTCCATGGATTCGAGAGGGCGAACCTCACTTCCTCAGCAAATGCTACTCGCGTCTGGCCTCGTGTTTTTCTGTCGTCCCCTCCCCCGCAAGCTTCGACATCAGCAGATATCAGCAGCATTTCTTTCCAACTGCCCGAAACAAATGTGAACTGTGAGCTAGCTACATCTACTGACACAATCTCACAGAATTCTTTAACCCCCCTTGTCCTGCCCGAGGCTTATTTCTGGATGGCACTGGCCAAGTTGCCATGAACCCCAGTCTACGTCCTTGTGATGCACAAAAGATAGGAAACAGGTGGCTGAACAAATCAAAATTCTTCACTTTGATCAACCCACCCTGAAGCTACCTGATGTGGAAGCCATCCCTGCCGTTTTCAGACCAGAAATTACGGATACTTCGCCGCAGGCTTCTGTCGCGGCACTCTCTGCGGAATGCTCTCTCTGAGGGCACTCCAAGGACAGGCGTGACTCTTGCAGGCTTCTCAGGGTGGGTACTCCAAAGATACTCGGCCGGTCTCTCTGGGTGGCACACTTCTCTCGTGGGTGAGGGACGCGACAGGACTCTCTGTGGGCGGTCACCCCGATCACCCCCAGTGACATTCCCAGGAGACCAGGTGAGGAGGCAAAGGGGCGAGGAGCATCGTTCGCAAACCCACACCAAGAGGGCACAGCAGCGATTGACGTGAAAGAAATCGGGCAAACCAAGCGATGTTGACCACGTGAATGTGCTGCTGCCTCGGCCACGTCCCTGGAGGCTGCAGCTAGGGCGCTGCTGCCCAGGGCCTGATGCCCACGTGTGGAGCCGGGGCATGAGTGTTTGTGTGCTGCTTCGGAACGCCGCCTCTCTTGCATGCTTTGAGTTGGCTTCCGCGCAGATGCTGGCCTTCGACAGCTCTTCAGACAAGGGGGCCGACGTGCCCTCGGACACCACAATGGATGCAACCAGAGATGTGGCCCGCTCCTGTGACAGGGCTGCATCCGCTTGTGTCTGCTGGTAGCTGGTCCTGGCATGTTCTGGCCTCCTCTGCCTGGGGGCGCACCGCCTGCGGCACCTGCGTAGCCAACTTTGAGACTTGATCCGAAAATCATGCTGGCCCGGCCTACGGGGACTATCCCGTGGCTTGGACAAAGTACTACACGAGTTTTGTGTAGCCTGTCTGTGTATGGCCGCCTCGGACTCCACTGTGATGTGGGAAGCAGCATCGCTTTGCGCCTGAGATCAGGTTTGCACGTGCCTGCGTGATCCACATCGAGCACTAAGGGCTGTTGCCTGCCGTTCCCCTTCTTGATGTTCCTGCACAGCTGCTCCAACCACCTCCTGCGGAGAAGGTCAAAGGTTTGCAGCGGCTGCAGTGACCAGAATCGAGATGTCCTCAAGCGTGCTGGTCACGACAGGCAGAAGCTCTGTGGCCTGTTTCGTTTCAACAAACTCCTCGACACGGCACCAAACAGGAACTCCAAGACACCTCACCGCCCTCAGACTCCGTGGCCGTATTCGACTCAGCTCCGCCATCCCTGACACGAGAACCCGGCACACCCACGGTAATCGCGGCACTGCCGACATGGATACTTGTCACATCCATGACTGGCCTGGGCGGCGGCATATCCTGGAGTGCTTTATGCGACGGCTGACGCCCATGAAGAGTTGCGCAGGACAGTGCAGGAGGCTTTCTTCTGCCGCCAAGTATCCAACACAGGTGGCTCCAGCAAGACAATGCTCTTTCGAGTTACTGAATCCGTCACGCAGATAGTGAAGGTCAGCTGTTCCTGATCTGCCTTGCAAAAGGACGGGAAGCTTCTACATTCTAGGGTTTCAGCCCTACCGTAGCAGCAAGCACTGACACTGCTATCACTGCAAGCACTGCGAGCACTGCAAGCACTGGAGCCTAAATTGACATGAGGCAAGTTGCCAGGATGTCCGCCTCGGCATCGTCGTCACCTTCCCGCTCCTTGTCGTTGCTTCCAAACACTCTAAGTTAAAACTGCGAAGCAGCCTTGCCAGAACCAGAACATCTAAACCGACTCGACATGTGATCTGCCACAGCATGCAGGGGCTTACATCAAAATCCCAGCGCTGGGAGGACATGCTTGAACACTGCTCTCAGTGCTTGCTGCTTGTACATGAATGGCCTTGTCGGCGAGACTGTCCAGCGGCGCGACATCTTCCGCCTGAACAAAGTGATGCTAGCAACTCCCCTCCCGTTACTCGGTTTAGGGTTGAGGGTTTAGGGTGAGGGGGAATCTACCATGAATTATATTGGGATCCCTATTATCAGCTTCAGCACAAGAACAACTCCTCAGGCAAATACATGCTCTGCTGACTGTGATTCCTGATCACACGTGTAAGACCTTGTCGGAAAGAACGTCCGCCAAGGTAGCCGGAAAGTGGAAGTCGTCGGCCTGCGCGCAATGGTTGATGCAGTTTAAGACGAACATCTGGCGACCAAGACAGCAAGTTTCTTGATCACACGTTCGTTGCCTCGTCCACAAGACTGTCTTGCACTTGCAAGGCAGCATGGGCATCTTCCACCTGCAGCATCGTTCGCATCCTGTTGTCGCAAGATCCTCTTACAACAACGTGTTACAACAAGAAGCGCCTTATGGTATACAAGATGCTTGCTTGTGATGCGAAACTAGGCCAATGTTTTACAGAGGGCAAACGAGGCCTGTTGGGATGATGCAAAGGAGCCCAGCCTTCAAACATGTGGCCTGGCATTGAGTGTCGGTACAAGCCTTTCCCCTTGCCGAGCTTTTTTGGGGTTCACAGGTCTTGCATGTCAAGCGAAAAGGGGCAATGCTTTTCTAGCGCAACTCAAAGCAAAACGAGACAAGTTTTTGCGCCTGCCATCTTGTTTCTCGCAATAGAAACATGCTGCCAGTTCAGAACTTTACTTGGCCTGAAGAACAACAATATGGAAACCTCGACCCGAACTTCCAAGCTCGCCATGCCGATGGCCGAAACAAGCTGACGAACGAAGGCTTGAAAGCATCGTGCTTGCTCAGTCCAACATCGCCGTTGCGGCGCCGCGGGCAAAACTCTACCCCTCCCCCATGCTAGCACAACGACGACTACGGCGACTGGGACTACTCTACGATGACGACTACTTCGACTGCTCCGTCAGCGACCTTGTTGTTTGCCTTGATAATTCGTAAAGGCTTGCAGTGCTAGCAGCACTTGTGACAGTGCGTCGTGTTGCAGAAATATCAGACATCCTTCTGCCGTATGCTGCAAAGAAGCAAATACGCTGTAAATACCACTGTTCTGGGTATGTTGCAAAAGGCCTGAACGCCTGTGACAACGCGTCATGTTCAGAAACATCAAACGTCCGTCTGCGGTATGTTGTATAAAAGGGCAAGAATGTTGTAAACAAAGCAGGGCATGGCTGACATGTGAATGGACGCCATTCTCCTCCCCAACCCCCTCCTCCTCCCCAACCCCCTCCTCCTCCCCAAACCCCTCCTCCTCCCCAACCCCTCCATGGCCATCTTGTGTACGCTGACGCCAACAGTCACAAGCCTCCAACTCCATCCCCTGCCCCCTTAGCTCCCCACCGAAAGAGCACGCGAAAGCACGGGAGCAAAACAAGAGCGCGGTTGTAACCGAAGTACTTCGGTCCTTGAGGGTTTGGGAATTTGGGGGGCTGCACCTTCAGGATTCAGGGCAGGATTCAGGGCTTGGGAATGTTTAGGGTTTAGGGTTTAGGGTGTAGGGTTTAGGGTTTAGGTTTTAGGGTTTAGGGTTTAGGGTTTAGGGTTTAGGGTTTAGGGTTTAGGGTTTAGGGTTTAGGGTTTATATAGGGTTTGGGGCGGAGACTGCACGAGGGAACCATCCCCCACGAGAATTTTGCCAAGAAAAGGGGGCAAAGTACCAGGCACCACGCGGCGCACATGGCTACTAGTGCCACCACCACTCTCCTTGCTGCACATGTGTGGCCTTGTCGGCAGCAGCCTCTGGCTCTGTAACAGGGACGGCTTCTGCCTGCACTCAGTCGATGCATCTTCAAGCAGAACATTTTCCTGACCACACGTGGGCGACCTTCTCGGCGGGAACGTCTTGCAGGACTGCATGGGTGCCATCTACCTGCATGCACTAGCTGACAGAGCCCCCCCCTGTCTCAAAGGAATCTCGACTCGAGACATGCGGCAATGCCACTGTCTCTTTCGTTCCTGGTGCCCCACGCAGCCTTGTCGGCAGGAACATCTTGAAGGGTGACTAGGGCCTCGTCCGCCTGTTCAGAATCGCACCCCAATTTTTATGCCTCCAAGCTAGTCTCTGACATTCGTTCCGAGGCTGCACGGGAATCTTCCTGCTTGAAAACTATCAAATCATCTTGACACATTTACCAGACCGCTCTTTTCGATCACTGTGGCCTTGTCGGCAGGAATTTCTTTCAACACGACGTCGACATCTTCTGCCACCTCAACGCAACGACTGAGTGCGGACACAGAGGAAATGGAGAAAGAGAAAGAAAGAGAGAGAGAGAGAGAGAGCGAGAGCGAGAGAGGGAGAGAGAGAGAGAGAACAAAAGAGAGAGAGAGAGAGAGAAAAGCAAGGAGTGACAGAGAAAGGGAGAGAGAGGACATGCACGCACGTGGCCTTTTCGGCAGAAATCTCTTGCGGTACGACAGTGGCATCTTCTGCCTGCACAGAATCTCTAAGGAGTAGAATAAAAGCGCCCACCAGCCCATTGCCCTGTGTCACTGCTGACCGCCTCGTCATTGGGAACGTCTTGCTGTGCTACAGGGACGTCTACAGTCTGCATGTCACAACGAACGCCGTCTGTTATGTTAAGACGTGCACCACTGCCGACTGTCGTTCCCGATTCCATGCGTGTGTGGCCTTGTCGCTGGGGGCATTTTCTAGGCCGACGAAGGCATCGGCCTTCGCGACATGCATGCGAAAGGATCCATGCGCTGTCTGATGTGTCTAATCGCACTTGCCCGGCCTTGTCCTCTCTAGCATCTTGCTGGGCAGCATGGGCATCTTCCGCCTGCACGACATGTTCTCTGAGTTTCTTCTTTGAATGTCTGAAGGGCTAGACCTAATCGGCCACTGGTGTCTGTGGCATCCTGACGACACCTGACGACACCTGGCGACACCTGACGACACCTGTTCGGTTGTCTCCTCTGGTCGTGCCTCGACAGTCGCCAAGGCATCGAAGCCGATTTCGGCTTTGTCCATGTCGTTGCCCTCTCTGGCCTTCTGTCCAAAGATGCGCGCATGCGATGTGTTCAGATTTCTGCGGCATCTACAGCATCTATCAGCATCCCACAGGGTTGCTGCCACTGTTCCATGCAGCTCTGGCTGAGAAGCCCTCTCATGGATACAGAACAAGTGGTGCCCCACCTCAGAAACGACCACTGACCTCAGCAGCACGACATGAGCAAGAAAGCAACCCCTGTCGGAAATCTGTACCCAAGACAACACGATCGCAGGAAGGAACACGGAGAGGCAAGAACCATGTCCTCTAAAAAGGGGTAGGGCTCTTTTCGGGTTCAGGGCAAGACTCGTCCTGGCCTGGCAGTGGAAGGCACACTGGGAACTGCAGACTCGTCAATGAGGTGGGTGGCAATGAGCTGCCTGGAAAATCAGGTTGCTGACGGTGACCCCAACCTGCGGCCTCCTCAACCCTGAACCCTAGACTCTTCTGAGATGACAGCCTAATGAACAAAAAGCCCGGAAACCCTGAACTGTTTCGAGGGAGTCTGGGAAACGAATGGCGGAAGCCCTTAAAAAGCCGGAAAGAAGGGGCTCCTGGAGTCCTGCACAGGCTTTTGAGGCTCTTTCTTCTTTCTCGGCTGATTCGGGCTTTTGGTTGTCTCCTCGCTTCTCGTTTGGGATACAAGGGGGTCCATGTTGCAATACGGCTGAATCCTGAAGGGAGGTTTCCGGGGGTCCATGAACGGGACTCGGAATGGGTTCAGGGCTTAGTCCGAAATGGTTGGGTTTCCTCTTCAAGTATTGTCGGGGTCTCCTCTAGACATCCTCAACAAGCCGAACGGCCCCCCATTAAACGGCGCACCCGACCAACTTTGAAGACTTCGAGGAGCCACGCGAGCCCCGCGAGCTCTCGCAGAGGTCCTGCGTCTGAGTGCTTTGTGGGGAAGAAATGTGACTTTTGCAGCTTTGGGCGCGGTCTCCTCCTCCACATTGCCTTCCAATGCTACGGCGACCACGGCGACTGACCCGACGGTCGTGCTGAAGTCCTCACGAAATCGTATGCAATCTCAGGATTGCAAGCAGGGCGCCCAAACTCTACGCCACCACAGACTCTGTCGCACTCCCTCCTTGGCGAACAACTCCATCGCATAAGAACTGCTGCAATCCGACATCACCTACAGGACATACGGTTCAGGCTGGTAGTTGGCTACCTTAGCTACGGCTGGTTGAAGGGCACTGGTAGACGTGCTTCTGGCAGCAAAGACATGGCGGGTGGGCCACAGACATGTCCGGCGTGGAGGGCACCTGAAGGAGAGCCACCGCGACACATTGGGGAACGGTGGTGGCATCCATGCTCTATGCACTCTTCACACCTTTTTCAGGTGTCGCGCTCCCTTTCCAGCCTGGCAACCTGAAAAGCAGCGCCACAGGGTGCTGTAGCAGTTACAGCTCAGTGTGCACTTCACACCGAGCGAGGGCTTGCGTTGCAAAGGACATGCACCATCTGTACAGCAAGCTGCAAACCTATGGCTGATGCATCAAGCGATCACAAAAGTCCGCTGGAAGAGCGCAGGGTTTTCTTAGACTTGGTGGAGGGCAATACAAGCTCCTCGACACCTAGGTCTCCTTCACAGGAGTCAGTAGGCGCTCAAGGAAAATTTGGTTCAGAACTGGAGGAAGGTCCTTATCTGGCAAGCCAGCCACACCTGCATGGGCAATGCTAGCATATGATATTGCAGCGCTGCTCCCGATGCCCACAAAGCTCAATGCTGCAATTTGAAGACAATGATACTCTCAAGACTGACTCACGGGACCCCAAACCTTTCCGGCTACATTCTGCTACATCCTGCTACATCCTGCCACATCCTTCTGCATCCTGCTACTGCTACATCCCTGTGCACCAACCACCCCGCCTGCACCACTGTCGAGGAGCATGCGACACACCTTGGCACTCGCACACTTTCACGCTCCTCTTCTTCTTACGACTTTGGCCCGTGAGATTGACTCCCTGCGTTAGGCCCCTTAGTTCTTAGTAGGGAATGAGGGAAGGAGGGCCCTATACACACCTTTTCGGGATTACATGGGGCCCTCATTCCCTCATTCCCTACTAAGAACCCGCCAGTAGGCCAACTTCTGTGTATGGCCTCCTCCTGCTTGGCCTCTGCAGCCAGCACCAGCGGCGTGCGGTCGTCAAGATCCATGGCCTGGCACGGAGGACTCTTGGCCTGGGGGGTTTAGGGTTTAGGGTTTAGGGTTTGGGGTTTAGGGTTTAGGGTTCAGGGTTTAGGGTTCAGAGTTCAGGGTTGAGGTTTTCGGTGGCGACGGGGACGATTGAGGGCATAAGATGCTTCAGGGTTTTTCGGGGTGCGGGAAGCTTCAGGTGTAAGGTTCAGAACTTGTTTGGGATGTTCTGGGGTTCGGAGTTTTGGGTTGAGGGGGCTTCTCAGTCAGCCACTGGAAGAGTGGGCGAGCGAGACCCAATAAAACCCGACCGGCTTAGGGTTGAAACTCTGAGGGCACGATGGGGCGGCGTAGGGTCCTCTACCCTGAACCCGCAAGGGGCTTATGTCGCGCCTCGGAGTTGGCTCCAGCTGCCAAGAGACATGCGACACAGTCTGCGTGGCCTGGGGCCACAAAGGGTTTAAGAGGTTTGGGGCTGAGTGCACACCTCAGAATTCAGAAGCCGAATCTCTCAACAGCCTTCGAGCCTGCCGTTCACCTGCAAAAGCCTGTGCATTCCAAACCTCAAGCCTGCACGCTACTCGAAACCCCAACATCCGAAACCCAGCGCCCTAGACCCATACTCGTAGCCACAAAGCAAATCCTACACCCTAAGCCCCTTCCATAAATCGCCCCCGAGCAACTCCAGAAGCCTGCACATGAAAACCCCAACCCCAACACCCCTCGCGAAGCAAGACAAACAGGAGCTCCCTTCCCAAAGTCCTCCCCTCAGCGCCCCTCAATCCCTGAAACCCTACATCCTTAAAACCCTCAAACCTCCAAAAACCCTGCAACCCCTAGCCCTAAACCCGACAATCCTAAATCCTATTCCCCCCCCTGAAATCCTCAGACCCTGAAACCCTAAACCTAAACCCCAAACCACAAACCCCCAACCCCAAACCCCAAACCCCAAACCCCAAACCCCCGCACCCCAAGGCTGTCGGACGGTTGCAACCGGCCTTTGCGGGCAGCGATGTGCAGCGGAGTCTCCTCCCAGGCCTGGAGGGGGGTGGGTGAGGTTTAAGGATTTAGGGGCTTAGGGGTGCTAAGGGTTTAGGGTTGAGGGTTTAGGGGTTAAGGGGTTTAGGGTTTAAGGGTTTAGGGCTTGGGGTTGAGGGTTTAGGGGTTTAGGGGTTTAAAGGTTTAGGGGTTTAGGGGTTTAGGGGTTTAGGGGTTTAGGGGTTTAGGGGTTTCGGGGTTTCGGGGTAGGGGTTTAGGGGTTTAGGGGTTTAGGGGTTTAGGGGTTTAGGGGTTTAAGGGTTTAAGGGTTTAGGGTTTAGGGTTTAGGGTTTAGGGTTTAGGGTTTGGGGTTTAGGGTGACTCTGGGGACTGGGAGGGAAGGAGCCAGAAATAGTCAAGCAAGCAAAGGCCTGCGGCCCAGGGGCCCCAAACACCCAACTTTCCCGAAATCCAAACTTGCAAAGTTGCACCGTGCTGCACCCCTTCGACCCAAGGTGCAGGGTGTTTAGGGTTTAGGGTTTAGGGTTTAGGGTTTAGGGTTTAGGGTTTAGGGTTTAGGGTTTAGGGTTCAGGGCTGAGTATCCATGACCGTCCATGAACCGGAGCAAGTACAAGGCCCAAATTAAACGAAACCTTGACATGCAGGCACGGACCTCTGGCCCAAGGAGGTGCTGGTATCATGGTAGCATGCGGCTATCAACCCCCCCCCCTCCCCGGGCCTCCTTCGCTTCGATGTCGAGGCCGCTCTGCAGGAGCCTCTCCACCTCTTGGGGGTGCAGGGGGCCTTGGGGGACTAGAAACCGCGTAGCAAAGAAGGTCTCATGCCTCCACAGTGTTGCCCTCGTCTGCGGCTCGGTGCAGCGCCGTGCACCCAAACTCATCCACAGCCCAATCCGAAGCCGAAGCTTTCAGAGCTTGCGAAGCCTGGCGAGCCTGGCAAGAAGTCAAAGAGTTAAGTTAGACCAGCTCCCAGGGCTCAGCAAGAGCCCAAACCCAGTCCCAGCTTGCCTTGTCTTCCAGCTTGGGGACAAACTGAAATCGCGCGAGCATCAGGGCCATGAAGAAAGCCACAGCCAGAGCCGGGATGTCCAAAACCATGTCCACCTTGGCTGAGGCATCACTGATTTCAGCTCATCACTGACTTCCGCTGAACTTCAGCCAACCTCCCACATCCACTATGGTTCGATGCAACAGTCCGAGACCCCAAAAACAGGCCCCTTTCTCCACATTCTCCTACTGGGAGCCGAGCATTGAAGCGGCTTGCACATGGTTTCCCCTGGTCTTCAGACTCCTGGGCGTCATTGCAATCAAGCCCCTTCCAAAGTCCAAGAGCAGTTCAAACAGATTCTGGGTATCGGACTGCTTAGTAGCGTGGGGGCTGTGCGGCATAATCTGTTACATAGATGTTGTAGATCAAGGCACTGTGATCGTCTTGCCTTCGAAGCTCGGTTCGCAGTCCTTCAAGGTATGACCGTCATAGTTGGAACTGCGACGGCGCATGCTCAAAGTGAACTGCTGATTCCTCTGGCCTGCGAGCATTGCTCCACTCCTCCCTCGTGGCTCTCGCCACCTGTGCCACACACACATGTTCAGGAGCGTAACATACGAGCACATGTGAACTTAGCTTCATCATCAAAGATACAGGATCGTCAACGCAACCAGGATGGCCAGGCCTGTCTCACTCAGGAGAAGGGACTCCAACTCCTCGCCTGAAGCTCCGTTTCAGCCCACAGAAAACCCAAATGGGCCCCCCCAAAACTGCCCCCCGAAAGGGCCCCTAAAACCATCTCGAGAACCTTCGATGAGGCCGCCATCCAGAGACTTAGCAATAGCTGGCACGGCATGTCCTGGGCCAGGCTCGGACGAACAGTCCAACCGAAGCCAAAAACCTGCAAACCGAAAGTCAACAAGTCATCAAAGGTTGGAGGCAGCTCTCCTGTCTGTATGAGCGCAGGGGTCTTCGATCTCTCCGAGATTTTGGAGGTCGCGGCGCCTCAAGTGGCGAGGTGCTAAGCTTTCCATCCCCACAAGTGAAATCATTGGGGAAGGGGGAGTTGTGGGGAGGGCTTAAGGAACCCAGGCTGTTTTGCCATCGGGACACTTCCTGGCCATACCAGCACCAGAAGCAGCGCGGTCCACAATGACATGCTGGGGTTCAACTTGTCGATCGTAGTAGGTCGCGGACGCCTCGGTGACAGCTCTGCTCCGGTCCACACCACCCGCAATTTGAGAAAATTGCTGCAGAAAATTGACCTTAACGCAGCTTAGAAGCGAAGTCCCTCGGCAAAGGTCCGTTTGTCGGATATGGCGGAAGACCCACACAGGGCTCGAATAAGGTGATGAAGCTTGAGCACCGAGCATTCGCACGTCACTTCAAACATCAGTTCAACATCAGCTGCACAACAGCACCACGGAGACTATGCGATGCAGTTTGCCTGAAATCTAAGACCCCACCAAGATCCTCAACCCAAGCCCGTAAACCATCGGGAACTTCCCTAAGTGCCAGGTGGCCTCTTTCTCGTGCACCACTTCTAGTCCTGCGGCAGACGAGATTCCAAGCTTTGAGACACAGGGGATGGGGGGTTTGGCCGGACCTTTGCTGCTGGTTCTGGCCTAGCTTGGGCGAGCATTCAGTGGCATGGCAACAACATCTGTACTCGACCCCAAGGTTGAGGCTAGGGAAGCTTCGGGTTCACATGAGCTTACACGAGTTTACAGGAGTTTAGAAGAGTTTAGATGAGCTTGGGGAGTGTAAGGGTGCATCTACACAGCTGTGAAGGCATTGGAGGAGTCGACCAGGACCCTGCGGCAGCTGCCCCCCAAGGAAAATCAAACAAGGACAGATGGATTCGCAAAGATTCCGAACGGCTCGTACAGTTCGCAAGACCCATCTCAAGACTCTCCAACATCCACATGCCATACCAGAAACTGCTGTCCTGACACTTCCACCCTCAGCCAAGGCTTGTGGTGAACAAGCAGCTCGAGATCGTGTTGGCTGCTTGTGTCGCGACTGCTGTCCAGGCTGCACTTGGGCGAAATGCTGAGGAGCCGGCTGCGGCGACGCGCTAGAGATCAGGCCTGAGGTCCTGGAAACTCTCTGCCACCAAGGCACCGCGTGCATCCATGTGCATGTGCGCGGCCCATTGTAAGAAAATGCTAAGGCCCCTCTTCAGGCCGCATCTGTCCTGGGTGTCGCCCCCAAGCTCAGCGCGTCTCCGGGCAGCGTCCGAGGCGGCGTAGAACTCTCCGGTGATGCCAAGGCGCCACCAGGCCTGAAAGTTGCCAAGCCCACAGGACCGAAAGGGACCGCTCGGACGGGAATGGTTTTGAATTAAGCCCTAAACCCTAATTAAACCCTAAACCCTAAACCCTAAACCCTAAACCCAAACATCCATTCTGGCGGCTGCAGCATCTGGCACTGAGCTTCAAGCTGCACTCGAGACACTTCCCTGAAGGACTCCAGCTCACCCGTCGGCCACGCCCTGGCCGCAGTTAGGGTTTAGGCTTTAGGGTGTAGGGTTTAGGCTTTAGGGTTAGGGTTTAGGGTTTAGGGTTTAGGGCACAAAAGAGGCTTGCAGCCACAAAAACTGCGTGCGCACGAGGAGGCGCTGTAGGAGGAGATGCCCGGCTCCATCGTGGAGACTGTGGCCTGCACCCCAGGTCCCAAGGCTGGAAGAGTTCGGCCACCCTCCATTACTATTATTATGATTATTATATGTTAATATTATGACTATTACCATTACTATAATTACTACGATTGTTATTCGGATGAAACGATGACTCGATGTGTCTTCTCCTAGTCGCCCTCTGAGCTCAATCAATACCTCCGGGTTTTTTCCGGTGCTGAACGCACTGGTGGGGCTTGCTCAGGCACACCACGCAAGCTCCAAGCTCGTCCGAGCCGAGCAGCACATCAGTCTTGCAGACAGAAGCAAAGGGAAAACTCTGCACAAGCTGGCTTGGAAGTGTGAATTACAATGAAAACTTCTGTACATGGGTCATCAACAAGTTTCGACACTCGGCAACACGCACAGCCCCGACGACTTGCTTCGGTCGTCCCGCGCCCCGGGCGTTCGCAAAGGGGACTCTGAGGTCCTCCCATGCTTCAGGAAAAGGGCAGGGTGCAGGGTTGTGCAGGGTGGGCCTTCGATCATGCTCGGGTTTTTGTCGGGTCTTTCAATGTACGCATTTACTCGTCCGACCTGCAACCAAGCCAGCTCGAGTTGGAAGCGCGAAAATTGATGGCTTGACATCCTGTCTGCACAGGACATGCACAAATACTTCGTTAAAACGGCACCTGTGCAAAGTCTTCTCGCCGAAGCTGCACATACAAACAGTCTAGGATCTCATCAGGGCCCCCCGGAATCTGTGATCGGGCCTGGGTGGGGCCTCGAAATCTATCGCATGGCCCCAGGCACCGAAATCTGTGACAAAGGCGGGCAGTGCAGCCGAAGGGTGACACGCAGAAAGATTGAACACTCACGCGTCCACCTTCTCTCTCGCCTCGCGCTGCACTCAGTTCCTAGACCTGAAAACACACAACAAAAACACCTCGGCGAGATGCACAAGTGCAGACGAAGTGCAAGCCACGCGCTGTACTTGGTGTCGATCTGCTCGTTCACCTTGGCTATGCCATCCTTGACCTCAGTCTGATTTGGATCGTTTGGGAATCAGGCATGACCACCACCATCACCACCACCACCACCACCACCACCACCACCACCACCACCGCGACCGCCGCCATCCAACACCAACCCCACCAACCCCAAGAACAACAAGAAGAGTATCAACCGCAGCAGCAACAACTGCAGCAGCAGCAGCAGCAGCAGCAGCAGCAGCAGCAGCAGCAGCAGCCTAGGCAACAAGAACACATGCAAGCTTCAGAGTTTCGCAGCGATTAGAATAGAATTCAGATCTCGAAGCGCTCAGGCAATATGAAGGGTGACATGGAGGCCTTCGGGCGTGTTCAGGGGCAGAGAGCGGGGGACAAGAACGATTGCACTACACTCTTGTACTGATCTACTGCGAATATTAAATTAGCAGATTAAGTTGCTTTGCAATAATCGTATAAATAAATTAAGCTCCGCCTTTTTACTCGGCCATTCCCAGAGATCCAGGGCCAACGCCACCTTGCGGATCATCAGCTGGGCAGCCTCGACAGAAGCAGCCGAAATCTAACACGATAGTATAAAACATCAGCTACCGTCATTATCTGAAGATCATAACGTCAGAATATCGTGATACCAAAAAGATTACAATATCATAATATCACCACATCATAACATCATAATACCATGTAAACATGTCAATATATCATATAATGTGAATATCATAAATGCAGGGCCTTGATTTTTCCTAAAGTCGCGTTTGTTTCGAAATACCATCTCACCCTAAACCCTAAACCCTAAGCCCTAAACCCTAAACCCTAAACCTTAACCCTAAACCCTAAACCCTAAACCCTCGTTTGCTGCAAGGCCTTCTCGATGAAGGCGTCTGGCAGGGGGAACCACCACGGAAGGTTCATCCTGGACCGGGACCTGCATCTGAATGCCGCGCCCCCATCTCAACATCCACACCGGGTTTAGGGTTTAGGGTTTAAAGTTTAGGGTTTAGGGCTTAGGGTTTCAGGGGAAAGCTAAGCTCGGAACCAGGCGCGGTTGACGACCTCGAGGCCTGCTTCGAAGTCGGAAGCACCAACAGAAACCCGTCATGATGCAGCTTGCTTGCGCTGCAGCGCGCCTCCTTGGCCGTTCTCAGTCCACTGGATGATGTTCTCGGACTCCATGTCCATCTTGGTGGATTCCACCCGAAACTCCAAAACTGCCCCACGCAGCAGCATGCACAATGGACCAGCCAGAAGCCTTGTATTGAGGATCGAAGGTGACCTCCCCGGTCTTCTTGTCCACATTTCCTGGAGCCCTAGTGACTGGACTGGGTGGCGTGTATTGAGGAGCCTAGGTTAAGCTACCAGAAAAAGGGCACCTTTATTCGAACCCCTATTATGCTATCCAAATGTCTGGTAACCCTACTTGTCGTTCCCAAGCCCTAAAACCACAATCCGTGTCAGGTTTTGTGGACCCTTGTCCGCTGCACTTTATGCCGCCGCGCCTGGGAACATGTCCAGGATGTGGATGTTGCACTTGCCACCGGCCTCGGCAACCTCGACCTTGACCTTCGCCCAGGTTTATGGTCTTCAGCTGAGGGCCTCCCAATTGCCTCTGTTAGGCCCGAATTACCCTAACCCCTAAACCCCAAACCCTAAACCCTAAACCCTAAACCCGAGGGTAGTTGAGGGGTGTAGGCACTGCCCGGCCTCCATCATGAGCTGCGAACGATAGGGGCCAATGTCATTTGGCCTCGTGTGTTGCCCAGAGGACTTTTTTCTGGGTACGCCAAAAAAAGGCCCCATGAGATCAACCCCCAGATCAGGTAGGTGCAGTCAGAAAGTTTGCCCAAGTTATCGTGCAAAACTCCTCTTAGTGCACACAGAGCCCTTTAGATCCGCGCCAGCGCGAGGAGAAGAACAGATGACGCCGCTGGCACTTGCTTGCCAAAATACAGTACAGTCTCAGTTCCCAGCTTCAGGAAGCACTGCAAGATCTCCGGCTCGCCGGGCTTGGGCACAATCTTCTCAAGATTCTGCAGGCTCACCTGTCTTGAGCTGCAAACATGCTGCACTACGCAGTTGGAAGTCTTGAGAGTTTGGGTCCAGGGTTTGGAGGTGCTTTACAAAGTCTTTCTGAACCTGAACACTACCACTTTGCGTTATGGTGCCCTATCGATGTCGGAATGGCGACGTCCGCACGACGTCCGCAGCGGAACCAAACACAGTTGTGTCGACCGGCAAGTGGCCTCTGCTGCATTCTCTCGCATGAATGCATCCTCGGCTGCACACTCACAGCACACACACACACACACACAGAGCACACATCTGTGTCTATATGACAAACACCGCTACCATCTTACCGCAGCAATGATAGCTGAACTGGCAAAAACCCGGAATGCTTCCTGCCAAGAAATGCAGCCTAAGCTCCATGGAAGTTGACGAGCCCTCAGCAAGAGTCTTTGGCAAGGTCGCCTGCAAGGAAGCGCTGACAAAGGAACCGTTCTCAACTTCGCAGAGCCTTCGCAGAGCCTTAAACAGCGAATCGAAAGTCCGCAAGTGTGCCACACACGCCTTCTCTCTGATGGTGAAGGTTGCATGATGTTTCATGCAGTTCGCATATTTGTTTGGCGTCTGTTTCCCGTCTCTCAGGCGTTTGCCGTGGCACGATGACAGGGTATGACAAAATCCAGCCTCGTTGCTGATGTTGATCTGACGACCAGACTTCTTCTGGTCCGCCTTCGCGCTGTCCTTCTGCAGCAGCATCTACCGTCATTACTGGAAACAAGGAGAGTTTCTCCCTCCTCTTCGGATTCATGTCTTGAAGAAAACATGGCGGGGGCACTGTCGCTGCCGCCCGTCGCTTCACAGCTCCACGGCGCGCAGAGATGGCTTTGCCAGCAGCCAGAAGCGCGGCCGCTGGGGAAGCAATGGCTGCGACAGACTGCCCAACAGTCTTCCGCAGTACGCTTGGCGATGCCTTCAAACTCGAAGTCATCACATGAAAGTGACCTGAATGTCCCCAAACCCGAAGAAGCACGAAGAGACGAATAACATCGAACAGAAAAAGAAATAAATAAATATATATATATATAAGATAGATGGATAGAGAGAGATAGATAGATATGTATACATACATCCATACATACGTACACATATATATATATATATACACATATATATCAGGCATGGATGACTCTATTTATGCATAGTCACGCTTTGGGGAGAAACATCTTACAACCTTAGCCCAGTACGACCGGCCTGCAGCCTCGCTGCCGCCGGCGTCTGTAGCCTGCTGCAAGCATCGTATTTGATGCCAAAGGGTTTAGGGTTTAGGGTTTAGGCCTTAGGCCTTAGGGTTTAGGGTTTAGGGTTTAGGGCTCTCATGAGCCCCAATCAAAGCACAAATACACCCTTTTTCTACACCCTATGACTACACTGTGCAGACACCCTGAACTCTTAACTGCCGGCAACTTCGACCAAGCACCTCGCCTCTGATCCACGACTCTCGCAGCCAAGAAGGCCGGCGCTGCTTGGGGATCCTCGGCTGGTTTAGGGTTTAGGGTTCAGGACTCAGGGTTTAGGGTTTAGGGTTTAGGGTTCAGGATTCAGGGTTTAGGGCTTAGGGTTCATACCAAGGACCCTCGAACCAACTTCCCGGTTGCTTTGCCTACAACTTTGCACAGTCTTGCATAAGCCTCTGGAACCCTGGGTCGGATCGCGCACCGACCGTTTCCACAGCGCCTTTCCCCGCCTACTTTGGGCTTCATAAGGTGTACATTGACGCCCTTTAAGGCTTCAGAGGCTTTCCGGGGCTCACGGAGCGACTTGCCAAATCGGATCCTTCACCTCTGAAACTTGGCAGGGCGCCATGGGACCAAGGTAGGAAGCGGTACTCACAGGACGGTCCAGTCCAAAAATGGCTGCTGATCAAGCATCGCACTGTTTAAGCCTCCGAACTGCGTTGCAGCTTCCGGTGGAGAAAATAAAACTCCTCCAACTGCCCTCCTCAGACAAAAGAACATCAGAGGCTCTCACCTCACCCCACCCCTTGGGATCTGCCCAGCGCCTGGAACGTCTTGTTCTCCTTCTGTGGATCGGCCTGCAACTTCGCGTGCAAAGAAGCTACGAACTGAGCGGCAGCCGCCCACAGGGGTACCCTGAGTCGTGGGCCTCCTCATCGAGGCTGGACAGGTCGCCCTTGGAGGGCTACCCATACCCAAAGAGCCCTTTCGGGAAGAGTTTTCAGGGATTCGCATTGTCTCGCCAGATTCTGCGAGGCTGAGCTTAGCCACTCCTTCCGGAAGCGCCTCCATGCTCAGGGAGGCTCAGAGACTTCGGCAAAGGAGTTGAAAAGTGGCGGCAGTGTGGGGTGTGTGTGGGTGTGTGTGGGCGTGTGTGCGTAGTTGTGACACCGGGTGTGTGCACGTGCCCAGCGAAGGAGTGAAGATGAGTGAAGGCTGTGCTAGCTTTGCCATGGCACTCACTCTAAGGCAGAAAGGGTGTCCAGCGATCCCTTCAGGGAGCCTGGAACCCCATCTCGAGCCGACGGGCGCGCAGCGGTTTCACACATGTCACCGGACAAGGCGCGGGTACCCCCTCACCTGGCCAGGAGTCCGCGCAGCGCAGATCGAGCAGAAGCTACACTGACACACTTACAGACACCTACACCCCCCGGACATTCGCAGAGAAGAGCTCAGAGCGTGGGCATCACCTGCATCGGTTCACCTCCAAGCTCGAACTGGCGTCCGCCGAAAGGGTTGTCCTGTGCGAAGGAGATGGCCGAGACATGTCAAGACAGTGGGACGAGGTGGGATGCTGATGGGAGAACCGGCCATAGCTGAGCCGTCCTCGACACGGAAACCATAGCGGACTAAAAACCTCAGATTCCAAGATGCTTTTTTCGGTATCATTTTTCAAGGCACTATGCACACTGCCTTACAGGTCAGCTGGCGAGTGACAGGACTTTGTGAACTTGAAGAGGTGTGAGAAATCACAGCCAAGGCGCTCCAAATTGGAAGCCTGCGCATAGTCGATGCACAACTCCTGAAGACCCCGCCAAACTCTTCAAACTTCAACATGCTTACACATGCTTTCACATGCGTTGAACTTACCCCCTGTTCTCTCTCAGTTCCAAGAGCTGCACGTCTCCAGGCATCACATCCTTTGTGGCGACGAATCGGAGCGCGTCCTGCGATCAACACAGTAGCTGCCTGACATCTACTCACCCCCCCAATGGTGTTGCGTGATTGTTCGACAACTTCGGCATACTCAGGGTCCTCTGCCAGTGTGGCAGTTCTGACGCTGGCAACCTCAGTCATGCAACTCCTCTAGCACCCACTTCTTGCCCATCTTGGGGAGAAGCCGAGGTTGCGGCCATGTTATGGTTAAGAAAATCGGCCAGCGGTATGAGCATGGTGCTCTCCCGGGTGCCCTGCACCGGCGGATGCCAAAAAGCGCTTAGGGTTTAGGGTTGAGGGTTTAGGGTTCAAGGTTGAGGGTTGAAGGTTGAGGGTTGAGGGTTGAGGGTTGACGGTTCAGGGTTGGGGGTTTAGGATTCAGGGTTTAGGGTTTAGGGTTAGGGTTTAGGGTTTGGGTCTTTCCGGCAGATCGCGTGCCTCAAACGCGAAACCGCGGGTTTTCACCACGCTGAGTGCCCAGCGGAGGTCCTCGGTCGAGCTCAGAGTGTGCAAAGGGCAAGGTCGGAAGACATCAGAAAGGAGTCCTCCTTCGTCACCGGCCGACCGCGCCAGAGATTGGGGTTCATCTGACGGCAAGTGAAGACTCATACGAAGGAAGTACTGGCATATCTGGCATATAACTATAGCAGCAGCATAGCGGTAAACCGTTAACCCCATGTACCACCCCAAATTAACACATACCCACTGCCGCGTTCGGCCCGCCTCCTTAGCAGCCCGACCCATGCAGTCGAGGTCCTCGAACCTAAGGGTCTTTGGGCCGTCAGGTATTTTAGGGCTTTCCGATTGTTTGAGTCTCAGGGGTCAAGGAGTGGCGCATAGAGTCCTTGGACCCATGCCCCAACCTGTGAGGGCCATGAATGGCGAAGACTCCAAGGCCAGCGCCAATTCTGGACAATGTAAGAAAAGAAAGTCCTCTGAACCAAGTCCAACTGCCTGACGCTCACAGAGTTCAGGACAGGATAGTCAGATGTCCAATGTTGCTAGCAATACAAGGTTTCATCGCACGTCGACACAGGGACCGAAATTGCCCTGAGCTCATCGAAAAAATCTGGAGTGACACAAGCGCATGTTTTGTTCTCCACCGCGCGCAGGGGGTCCTGCGGAGTCTATCGTAAAAGCATGTTGAGGCATGCCGTCGATCAAGGATCAAAAGGCTAACGCAAATCCTGTGCTTCCGACGGGACTGTTCATGGCATGTCGCTATGACCATCCTGTACAATGCCAATGTCTTCTGAGACTGACTACCAGAGTCTACTGTCTACTGACTGGCTTCGCTGGAGGAGCATCCAGAGCTAGCGTCGCTGTCCCACAACTCCTTCCGCTCAAAGTGGAGGCATCCGGAGATCCTCACCATAAGCAGCATCACGGGAATCTCGATGAGCGGGCCCAGCACGGTTGCGATGGCCTGGTTACTGCTTGTGCCAAAAATAGCCGTGCAGGAGGCAAGAGCCAGCTCGAAGTTGTTGCTAGCTCCAGTGAAGGCCAAGGTCACGGTTTCAGGAAAGCCCAGCTTCAGGAGGCGGGATGACATCCAAGACAGTGTGAACATCACGCAGAAGTAGAGCAAAAGAGGGATGACTGCGAACAAGACGTCCACAATGCTCACCTGACTGTCTGGCAGTGGTGCACAAAAAACAAACAGGCTGAACGGCTTCAAGGGTGAGGCAGAGGGAGAAGGCAGGGAGATGTGGGTAGCGTGGGGAGACTTCCGGAATCTTCCGGAGAACACAAGGAGAACACAGCTCTCCTGCCTGGCCATTGAGCAGCGGCTTGGCCATCTCGCAGAACATCAGGAAGACAACAAGAAGCAAGGAGATGAGGCCAACTGGAGCAAAGCGTGGCAAGAACCGCCTCCAGTACCATTCCTTCCCGTGGCCCACGCCCCACATGAACACGCCTATGGCCAGCGGGATGCCCAAGTAGATAGCCACGTTGACGAACACCGTCTCAAAGCTCACGGAACCCTCGATGTCGACGCCGGCAGCTTGTCCAACCGTCGCAAGCAAGGTCACGATGGGCGCATAGCCCACGATCGTGACCATTGAGTTCAGCAGCACCAAGGAGACGCAGAGAAAGCTGTCACCATCTGCCAAGGATGTCCAAACCAGCACCATTGCGATGCATCTCGCAGCACCAATGAAGACGACACCTTGCAGCAAGTCCGGGTGCTCAGAGAGTGTTAGCATGCCGAGGCCCAACATCAAGAAAGGACCGATGACCCAGTTCATGACCAGGCTCAGAACTGCAATGCGCCTTGGAATCTTGCGCACCGCCGACCTAAACTCATCGTACTTCACGGCGGCAAAGGGTGGCAGCAGCATGGAAATCATTCCGATCGCTGATAGCAGGTTCGTGTTCCCGACCTTCATGCCCTCGATCACCTTGTCCAGGCTTGTGTAATAGCCCAGGAGGACACCGGCGCCGGCCGCAAGCAGAATCCAAAGCGTGAGGAACCGCTCCAAGCCCAGCTTCGCCTTGGGCTTGTGGCGCAGTACGGCCTCCGGACAGCACAGCAACTCCTCGCCCAGAGTGATCCGAGGGCAGACAAAGACCTCGGAGCCACCTTTCAGGTCGAAGTCCAGAGCATCCAGTTTCAGGTCCTCCTTCTCAGGCAAGCGCCGGCCGCCAATGCACACATTAGCAGTCTCGGGATTCACGTTCAAGGCTTGCTGCACCTCCTTCACAGTGAGCCCTGCAAGGAGGCCCAGGGACTCCATGGTGCCCCTGGAGCAATCCTGGCCACATGCGACCTCGCTCTCTGATTCAGACATGGCAGTTGCAGGCCCCAGCAGGTTTCAGCAACCAGCTACAAACTCAAAAGGCGCTTCTCGAAGTCTCGAAGCAGGCGGGCAAGAAGATGCAAGAGCTCTCATGCCATGCAGCAGTATCATTTGTAGGTGACCAGACAACGGTGCCCTCCCAAACACACATGGCAGGCAAAGCTCACACAGGCCTGTCAGAGAACCACAGCACCTTAAGGGCTCATCATCAGAATGGCTTGGGGAACACATGCGCACGTGTTCCATGGAATCATCCTGCAGCTAGAAAGCCTGTGCTGAGGCTTGCTCTGAAAAGTGTGTGCAGCATTGCAGCCCAGCCACATTTGCAAAGGTGAGAGGCAGGAGCTTGATCCAGTCCGCCAAGACTGAGTTGGGATTTACCCTGCGGCACTGCCGACTTACCCGGCATCTGTCTCGAATCCACATGAAGTAGGTTGCGGTTGCGGTTCCCTTCTTTAGGGTCCTGTGGGCACCTATGTTCTATTCGGCCACAAGAGGGCGGGGGATGGCACCGTGGCGGCGTGGGGGGGGTGGGGCCTCTCGAGCGCCAAGCCCAGGCTCAAAATCGCGTGGGCGTCGCAGCTATGACGCCTGCAACGAATTGTAGGGTTTAGGGTGCAGGGATTCGGGATTTGAGTTCGTAGAGTTGCTTACGAGTGCTTGAAGCTGATTCATGTGGATAAAGCAAATCTAAGGCTGATTCATGAACTGTGTGGATATGTCTGACCTCTTTCCACAAGAAGAACACTTGCAATGACGGCACAGATCAGACCTCTGGCTCTACTCGATTTTGCACATGGCCTTGATGCTTCGACCACCGCAGAGTGCACACTCTTCAGTGAGAAGACCTCCAGGCTTCTTTTTTGGAGTCTTGAAAGAAACTTCGAAGAGCCAGTTTCGCCGTCCTGGGTGGAGGGGACCCTCAGAACCGTCGACCGGGCGGGAAGCGTCCTCACAGAGAATGAAAACTTGGCCCTCTTACCTGAAACCTACACGGCCATCTTCGTCACCTTTGCGTGGCGCTACTTGTTAGGTGGGAGGCCTCCCTGTAATTACACTGCACACCCTTGTGAAAGGCTCTTTGCTCAGGAGACTGCGCACTTCAGCGTACGGACCGCCCCCCTTGTGGCTTCGGTGGCTTCGGTGGCTTCGGTGGCTTCGGTGGCTTCGGTGGCTTCGGTGGCTTCGGGGCCCCTGGCTCCGCCATTTTCCGAGCCCTCCGAGGCGGATTCCAGGGCTGCAAGGCGCTCCTTGAGCTCCGCAGTGGGCACCGAGAGTGCCTCGGAGAGCCCGCGCCCAGGCTTCTGGGGCGCCAGGTTCAGCGCTTTGAAGCGCCAGAGGCCCTTCCAGTCCTCATCGCGGGCGATGTCCTCGAAGGGTTCCGCGGAGTCCCTGTGCTCAAGCAGCTTGTGCAACCAACCGATCATGGTGTAGCACCCGTTTCCAGTTGCAAAGACGTTGCCCCCCAAGGCAAACTCGCCCGACGGCTTCAACTGCTCCGAGAGGAGCTGGTTGCGCTGCCGCTGCCGCATGCTGCGGGTCTGCAAGACCCCCAAGAACTCCAGGACATTCTGGATGCTTTGCGGCCCCAGCTGGCGAGGCAAGGTGCGCTTCAAGACATGCGGCCCCGCCAAAACGCTTCTTGCAGGGCGGAGGGGTGGCATGGATGGGTCAAGGATAAAGAGCGCCACAAAGTCGCGGGAGGCCTCCTCCGAGCCGCTGTTTGCCAAGCGCAGCACGCGGTGCGCCATTTGGTAGTTTGAGAACACGAGCAAAGTTCCCTCGGTAATAGGAACCTTGCAGTTGTGAACTGCTGTAGATGTATTGCTCTTGTTCTGCCCGTTGCCTCGCAAGGCTTTGCGCAACGTCTGCGTTCCTAATGCCTCGTAGTTGTTACTGCAGTCACCGGCACCCAGAACATCCATAGGCTCCCGACCGCAGAACTCCATGTCCCCACCACGGAGAGCAGAATCAACATGGTAGTAGTACAGCACAACGGCAGCCACGTGTTCCCTGTGCCCATCGACATGCCACAGGCCGACATACTCTGCATCTGAAGTATCGCCAACGACACCTGGCACAAGAATTCGCTGTGCCTTAAACACAACTTGCAAGCGTCGGTCATCCAAGAGAAGCTGTGGCCGCCGCAACTTTGCAAGAAGGGGCAAGGCTGCAGAGAGGACTGGACATGCAACATGCTGGGCAAGATATGGATGCTCATGACTTAGGTCACCGCCCACCAGTGACGCAGTGCCGTCTGCTGAGATGTCAAACTCGCATGGCACCCACACAGGGCCATGGCGTGTCGGGTGGACAAACTGGTTGGGATCGACTATCATCTGATAGCGTGGCAGCGGCCTATCCAGTGTTGCGGCTGCATGTTGATCCAACAGCTGTCTCACTGGCAACCTCAAGCATCTACTCCAGACATCGCTGTGCCTGCCACCCCACTGCCTGGTTCCTGCCGGGAGCTTCCAGCAGGGAGCTTCCGGGAAGTATCCAAGAGGCTTCAGCAATTCACTTCTGCCGGCCCGGTATGATATGACCTCGAGCCTGGTATAGACAAGCCAGTCCTCTTCCTCTGCAGCCTCCTCTTCGCCATCCTGGTTCAGATGCCCGGTGGTGACCCAGGTCCGCCATTCCTTGAGGGCTTGGATTGTGGCAGTGCTTGGCAGTTGGTTCATATTCGGAGAGACGTCGCCCTCCCCCAGCCCCGGTGTATCGTGGCCCCTGTCCACCTTCCGGCAAACAAGGGGTCGAAAGTCAGAGGTCGTCTGCTTGAGCGTGAGCATGCCACCAGTACCAGGATCGATGCGAGCAGACAGAGGCAATTCCTGACCGTCCTGGAGTGCGCGAGCTATCGGAATCTGTTTCGGCCCTTGATGACCCTTATATCTAGGCAGAAGCTGACCACACCTTCATGCGAAGAATCCGAATGTACTCTGAAGATTCTGAAGATCTCAAGACCGACTTACACTGCGACTCCAGTTTGCTTGCGACTTTTAGAACACCAAGGGTGTGCCAGTCCTGGAGCAGCACGCCCTCCACACTCCCCGTACTCCCCATCTCCTCTGCTATCAGCTCCAGAAGCGCTCCAGCAGTGAGCTCGGGACTACACCGACTTGGGGGAATCCGGAAGAGCATCTCTCCGCTGAGGCTGTGCCCATGAATACCTTCTTCCAGGTCCAGATGTACGGTTGAGACTTGCTGCCTGGCGGGAGGCTTTTCTGGGAACTTGAACCCTCCATCACTCTCATCGTCATCTGCCTGATCGGTAACATCCTCCTCACGGAATTTATGCATCCTCACGTGCAAGGCCGCCTCATAACCAAAAGGGTCACGGGCCATGGCAAGCTTCACCAAAAAAAAGAGTGTGCCGGGACAGCTTCTCACGCTGCTGAGCCTTGAGTCCAACACTTTAAGATCCGTGAAGCACACTCAGATACTCTCAGGATGCTCTCAGGATGCTCTCAGGATGCTCTCAGAGCAAACGCTGCACGGGGCATCCCGCAGCGTCCTGGATGCTACAGCGCCGGTGCGGCCGCCAGAGACTTGCCGAATGTCGAAGTGGACGGTGGCACCCCTGTCAGAAGGCACAGCAAGGGCACTGCAAGGCACTGCAAGGCACTGCGAGGCACTGCAACATGAGTCTGAACGTGCTTTGCGAACGAAGGCTGTGCGAAGTCGTGTGCCACTTGTGTGCCACTGTGAGCGCATATCGCTGCCTCCGCACCATGTCCGCCACAAAGTTTCGGCGACGCAGGTCGAACTGGCACAAGTGAGTAAATTCTCACACAAAGCAGCGAAAGCCTCTGGTGATCTCTACGGCTGCGGCTATGGTGTGAGGATGTGCGCAGTCTCATCAAATTTCCCAGGCCTGAATGCCTTCTTCCGTCTCCGTGCAACATCTGTCGTAAGTGAAGACCTTTCGAGTGTAGGTTACTGACACCAGCCCTTCTGACACGTGCCCTGCATCTTTGCCTTGAAGCCAAGAACCCCACCGAGTCCCAGCAGAGAGGGTTGCCCTTGGCCCCAGGTGCGCTGCAGCAGATTTCGGGAGTCCACCCTCCGACCTCGGCCAACGCGCTGTTCCGCGACGTACTACGACTGCCTCACATTCCAGCTCTGCCGGAGCTGCAGTGGGAGCACGCCCATTGAGCCCCCCGGCCCAACAATCCTTCGAGGCAAAAGCATCGACTCCAGGCACAGCTACAACCAGGAGCAGCCTGGCCACTGCTTGGCACTGCGCGAAGTGTAGTCCGGAGGTCCCAAAAAAGAAGACACAAAGAAACAGGGCCCCCCCGCCTTTCGCTCAACCAGTGCCGCCGACCCGAGACCGGCATCCTGCCACTGTGATGGAGAAAGAACAACTCGAGGAGCTGTGTTGTGACCTAAGAGTCTAAGGGCTTCTGCCAGAGCTCCTTGAAAGCTATCCCAGGGCTGAGGACGCCATCATGCCCCGAGACACCTAGAAACTACGGCGCAAGCAGGACAAAGCTGCCGCTGGACCCAATGACTCAGTATCCGAACTGGGCTGAAAAGACACTGGATATCATGGGATGAAAGCCTGCACCCTCTTTACTCCTCTTTACTGTCACCCTCTTTACTCCTCTTTACTGTCAGCTCACATATGCCGCGATCAGCGCAACCTCTGGGGACATTGGGAAGCAAGTCTTGTCCTGATCGGTTCCCATACCTGACCTACCATCTGAGCCAGAGCGTGCAAAGCCATGGAGCTGAGCCGATTGCACAAGAAGGACAGACTTGGAGAAACTATATTGCATTGCTGCCAGTACCATCTTTGCATATCCGAAACTGGTGTGGCAAACGTAGCGTTAAACCTTTTCGGTCTTGAAACGTACTTCTCTTCTTCGGATGACGACAATTTTGCTGTCCCGCCTTTTTTCTGCTTCTATACCCGAAGTTGTTCGGTTGAGGAACATGTGTCGAAGGTTTTAGTGTGCAGAGAATGGCTTTATGGCCGTACAAAAGGTACAAAAGCAGATGAGTCCTAACAAGCCTGGCTCTTTCACTGTGGGAGTTGTCAAGTGGCGGAGCGCAGCTGTGGCGCAGTCTATCCGCACTCCTCCCAGGTCAGAACCTCCGATACAGGAGATGTTGCACCTGCATGGCTCACGAGCAACAGGGGCAAAGTCAAACAGTTTGACTCAGTTTGACTGCACGCAAGAGAACTGCAGTCAGGACACGGCGCAGTGCCCAAGGCCTCAGCAGTAACCATGCTGGGTGCTAAGCTGGTTCCTTCGATGGCTAATTAGTATAATTAGTGACATATCGGATCGCAGTGTTCTCAGGCTGCCACATAGACCCAGCACAAGGAAAGCTAGGATGGTCAGCCCGACGAAGGTCACCGCACTGTCAAGGTGTAAAGCTTCTGAGGCTTAAAGACCAAAAAGAAGTTCACAATGAGTCACACATAACAGATTCAAGCCAGCGCAGGCTTCTCCAAAGACCCTGCAAGACCCTGAAAGGCTCTGCCTGCCATGTAAACTTTCTGCGTAAATACCAGGCTCGTGCATCCTGCCGGTGAACATGCCATCTAATTGGAGAGTCATTCATGACAAGGTGCTTTCGGGTGCACTGAAGTAACGAGCACATCAACGCGGAACATTCTCGATGTGAGCTACGGTCGGGGTCCACACCAGTGGAACTATCTGCCAGTCTGGCAGGATTCCAAAGCCGTGCACAGACTGCGCCATACCTGCGAGCGAGGTTAAACCCAAATCTCGAGATATTCGCACAGGCCATTGCTACACAGCTTAGCAGCTGACATCCTCTGTCAGTTGTGCGAACGGTCACGAACGGTAAGCCCCAAGCAGACTGATGAATTGACCAGGATACAATAGAACCGAAAGCTCGCAATTGCCCCAACTATCCCAACACCTGAAGCTAGTCGGCCAGCAAGCTCTTTTTTGATAACCCGTATCGGCCTGTGGGACCTGGAACCTAATGTTTTTCGGAGCTGGATTCTACAGTCTAGAGCTCATAGCCATGCATGTTGGGTCATGGGTCACGTGCAGCTTTCGTGAACATGCCATCGCCTTAGCAAGAACAAGAACAGAACAACAGAAATCCGCCAAAGCAAGACAAACAAGTAGCCCCCAGATATCCAAAATCTCCTGGGCAAGCCGAGCCCTGCACCACCAAGGAGGGGGCTGTCGGAGAGGACAATGCCATACCCTCCTGCGAAATCCTGGGGCTCCCACGTAGCTTCTGAAGGCAGAAATGGGAACTATGTGGCTGCAGGTTAGCTGCAGGCTTATCGGTCCTGCGTTCGCAAGCACGAGAAACTGCCTTCCGCGAGAAACAACGCACAAGGGCCGGACTGCGCGGCAAAGCATTCTAGCATATTCCAGCAGCGATGAACCATTCCAAAACTATTCGAGCAGTGAGTATCGCAACTGCCGCCTCGCCGTGCACAGCAGTCAACCCCTGTCAACCAAAAGCTCACGTTGGTGGTCCAGCTGGCTTTGCCTGACTTCCGCTGTGATCATGTCTGCCGCAATGAATTTGCGATAAGCTCCCCTTGTTGTGGCATGAACCTACTTGGCTTGCATGGCAACAAGGTCCGGACTCACAACCGGCGCCACACAGTAAAGTTGGCCACCCTGCACGGGAAAACTCAACGACTCAAAGTGTTGAGCCCTGTAGGTCGCGCTGCAAAGTGAAAAGTTGCACCAAATTATGAGGAGATGTCGAAAGCAGCTTTGAATTCAATCCCAAAATTCTTCCAATGGCAGGACTGCGTCAAAGAATGTGGAAGCAAAAGCGCCTTCATGAAGCCGACTCCTTTGGAAACCTTGGAAGCACATGCATGCACTGAAAAATCGGTGCACTCCATACCACACACTATTTGCCCAAGCTTGCCCAAGGACATCTATGAAGGCTGTGTTGTCGAAGGACATGAATGAAGCATCCAGGAAAGATGCACCTGACAACCAGGCTCGCAGGCAAAATGGAGCTCTAACCAGCGCAGCTGCAATTGTGCAAACGAAAGCAGCCCGGGTTCTGGCACCCGGCGACAGGGGATCCACACCTTCATAGACCGCACCGTACCTGCAACTCAGAATTCTAAAGGTTTGTCTCGCATGCCCAACTACGCATGCCCTCGACAAATTCTGGGACACAAGCCCCAAACGCCAGTACTCATCCATGAAGGAGGACCTAAAGATCACAGCATCCATGCAAACACATGTGTCGGAAGGCCTAAAAAAAAAATGGAAACCCCATCAAAAATTTTTCCAATCAAAAAAAATAGTTTTTTTACAATCAAAAAAACTTTCCGGAAATCAAAAAAAATTATTCCCAATCAAGAAAAACTTTCCTTGGTAGTTTACAAGAGGTTTTGAGTCTCTTGGACGATACCTGACCCATCAAAAAAACTTTTTCTCTCCATCAAAAAAAACTTACCGCATTCGACTCAAAGATATGTATAGTTTAGTGTGCATGTGTGTATATATATATATGTATATGTCTTGGGCGGCAAAACAGACACTCCTTTCTGCACGGTTTAAAAAAAGCGGGGGGGTGGGGGGGGGCGCAGCCCCCCCCATTTGCAAACACAATGCTCACACGATGCAACTCACACTTTGCATGCGATGGGCGTCAACAAGTTTCTTGGGCTTTGAAGCACGCTCTGCACGGCTTAAAAAAAGCGGGGGGGTTGGGGGGGCGCAGCCCCCCCCATTTGCAAACACAATGCTCACACGATGTTTTTCAACTAGTTTCTTGGGCTTTGAAGCACGCTTGGTACGGCTTAAAAAAGCGGGGGGGGTTGGGGGGGGCTGCGAAACACCCCGGGTGTCAACAAGTTTCTTGGGCTTTGAAGCACGCTCTGCACGGCTTGAAAAAGGGGGGGGTTGGGGGGGGCGCAGCCCCCCCCCATTTGCAAACACAATGCTCACACGATGTTTTCAACTAGTTTCTTGGGCTTTGAAGCACGCTTGGTGCGGCTTAAAAGAAGCGTGGGGGGTCACGCTCTGCACGGCTCAAAAAAAACAGGCGGGGGGGTTTGGGGGGGCGCAGCCGTGCCTTGGACGCTTAACGTCTATTCTGCGCGTGCTCTTTGTTTTCTTGGATTCTTCCCGAAACAAATTCTGAAATTGGGTTCTCGTTTGAGGCGTTCTATCGGACCGCTTCTTGGAGGAGTTTTGACGTGAGGCCGCGGGGACGACACGGTCAAGGGAGAGGGTTCGGAACATTTTGCTGGGAGAGGGGCGTGGCGGGGAGCGTGACATTCCCTTGATGGGCAGGGGAGTGGGGACACGTGGATGTTCCTCCGTGCCCTCCGCGTTTGCAAGCCCTCCGCGCCCTCCGCGCCTCCGCGCCCTCCGCGCCCTCCGCGACCTCCGCGCCCTCCGCGCCCTCCGCGCCCTCCGCGCGCTCCGCGCTCTCCGCGCCCTCCGCGACCTCCGCGCCCTCCGCGCCCTCCGCGCCCTCCGCGCCCTCCGCGCGCTCCGCGCCCTGCGCGTCCTCCGCGCCCTCCACGCCCTTCCCGCCCTCCGCATGCTCCCCGCCCTCCGCGCGCTCCGCGCCCTCCGCGCCCTCCGCGCCCTCCGCGCCTTCCGCGCCCTCCGCGCCCTCCGCATGCACCCTCCGCGCCCTCCGCGCCCTCCGCGCCCTCCGTGCGCTCCGCACCTTCCGCGCCCTCCGTGCCCTCCGCGCCCTCCGCGCCTTCCGCGCCCTCCGCGCCCTCCGCGCCCTTCGCGCGCTCCGCGCCCTCCGCACCCTCCGCGCCTTTCTCGTCCAGGACACAGTGTGCTGATGCTAAGGGCGCATTGCGTCTATTCTGCGGGTGCGTTGCGTCTATTCTGCGGGTGTTTCCTTTGTAAAGTATTTGTTTACAAGGCACGCACGTGCAGCATAGCCTTTAAGTGTCCATCTTACGGGGCGCAGCCCCCCCCCACTTGCAAACACAATGTTTTTTCAACTAGTTTCTTGGGCTTTGAAGCACGCTTGGTTAGGGTTTAGGGTTTAGGGTTTAGGGTTTAGGGTTTAGGGTTTAGGGTTTAGGGTTTAGGGTTTAGGGTTTAGGGTTTAGGGTTTAGGGTTTAGGGTTTAGGGTTTTTAGGGTTTAGGGTTTAGGGTTTAGGGTTTAGGGTTTTAGGGTTTAGGGTTAGGGTTTAGGGTTTAGGGTTTAGGGTTTAGGGTTTAGGGTTTAGGGTTTAGGGTTTAGGGTTTAGGGTTTAGGGTTTAGGGTTTAGGGTTTAGGGTTTAGGGTTTAGGGTTTAGGGTTTAGGGTTTAGGGTTTAGGGTTTAGGGTTTAGGGTTTAGGGTTTAGGGCTTTTTTTCCTTCCTTCCTTCCTTCCTTCCTTCCTTCTTTCCTTCCTTCCCTCCTTCCTTCCTTCCTGCCTTCCTTCCTTTGGTCCTTCTTCCTTCCTTCCTTCCTTTCTTCCTGTCTTTCTTTCCTTCTTTCCTTCTAAAACCTACAAGAAATAACGCTTTCCTATGAAAATACAGAGGGAATTACGGCTTTTCGTACGAAAAACCACGAAAATGCAACAAATCCTTTAAAAAATATAGAGGGAATGGTGGTTTTCTTAGGAAAAACCAACAAAATCGACAAAAAAAACCAAAAAAATAGGCCCTCCCCTCAAAACGCTTGGAAACTTTACGGGAGTTTAGGGGCCTCGAGAAACTTAGAAACTTTAGGTGAGTTTAAGGGCCTCAGATTGCTCAGAGACGTTAAGGGAGTTTAGGGGCCTCAAGAAACCGAGAAACTTTAAGAGGGTTCAGGGGCGTCAAAACACTTCGAGACTTTAAGGGAGTTTAGGGGCCTCAAAACGCTTAGAGACTAGGGGCATCAGGGAACTTAGAAGCTTTACGTGAGTTTATGGGCCTCAAAACACTTATTCGAGACTTCAAGGACGTTTAGGGGCCTCAAAACGCCTAGAGACTTCAATGAAGTTCAGGAGCTTCAAGAAACTTAGCAACTTTAAGTGGCCTCAGATTGCTTCCTTCCTTCCTTCCTTCCTTCCTTCCTTCCTTCCTTCCTTCCTTCCTTCCTTCCCTCCTTCCCCTTCCTGCCTTCCTTCCTTCCTCCCTTCCTTCCTTCTTGCCCTCCCTCCTTCCTTCCTTCCTTCCTTCCTGCCTTCCGTCCCTCCCTTCCTCCTCCCTTCCCTCTTGTCCTCCTATCTGAAAAGGAAAGTTGTTTTTTGATTGGAAAAAAAGTTTTTTCTTGACTGGAAAAAAAATTTTGATTGGCATCCCAACCATATGCAGATTCCCAAGTTCCTTGCTCGATGTATTCTCCAATTGGAATGGCCGCCATGATCGACTGGCGTGGGGAACCGCTTTATCACGAGCCTATCCATACAGCCATACAGACCAAATTCGCTGCAGAATTGACGCGCAAAGATGAACAACCTTACCATAATGTGGCAGGCGCACAGCGATCACCAAACAGCCAAGCAGAACTTGCGCCTAGTCAGGGTTTTGAGGCTCTGGCTGGATTTCGGGACAGGTGTTTAAACACATGCGAACAGCACGATCGCAGCTAATCTTTTCCAAAGCACCTGACGCCTCTCCACAACACAAGCCTGACACTACTTTGCAATAAGCATGTCATGCAGCCTCAACAATATTTTCAAGGTTCCCCTGCATCATGTCCGCTAATAGCACATCTCCACCCCTGGCTTGCAAATCATAGAACACACAGAGGGAGCCAATCGAAGGTGCCTGTTGGCGCCTTGCTGCCCCCAGGCCGAGCACCAGCAGAGCCAGCCTTGGAAAAGCGGCAAATACCACATGGAAAGACAAACTGGCGCAACAGGGCCAATGTCATGCGCACAGCGAACACGGGCGGTACTTTGCAGCATGTGGGGCCACAAAGCAGCCCTCACATCTTGGCTTCCAGCAATGAAGCACAGGCGATGAGGCCCCAAATGAGAGGTCCGAACTCCTGTTGGTGATGGCCATAACGATCCGTTTACAGAGGCGACATTTTGAATACACACACGGTAACAGGCAAACATGCGACTCCACACAACCTACTGGCATCAAGTCTGTGTTTCCCTGTGGCCTTGAAAGCGAATACAATGAGTGACAGCGTGAATGAAAACCTGACAGGCAGGTGGATTCTTGGTCAGTGGAGGAGCTCAAATCGGCTGCGGCCAGTCTTAGTACAGGGCACTGTCCACGGCAACAGCAGCAAAGCCACGGTGATGACGTTGTGCCCGGGGTTCTGCACAAAGCAACTCGCACTAAGCGATGCAAACACCACAACAGCCATCGCACAATAGTGTCGTTTGCCAACGAGCATGAGGGACTTTTGCACATGCCGCGCCTATGCCCATGTAGCACAAACAACGCAGCTTCAACCCAGCGAACTCACAAACCAAAAAATTGATGGAAGGCGACGCCCGGCCTTTTGCAGCCGCCCATATGCACCGTTCATGCATGTCGCGTGAAAATATGTACAACACACAACGTCGTTTGTTTCCAACACAGTGCATCTGGACAACTTCCCGCATTGCTGGACAACTGTGGTTCGCATGGAAGCGTAAAATGCAGAAACCTACCCTTCGCGGTCCTAGCGTCTTCAACAATTTTTTCCATCTAAGCCGAAAGGCTTTGCAAAAGCCCAGAATTTGATGCGCTTCAGCACATACCAGATCAACATGCACGTGCTCACCGGCTGTGCCATGTTCAGATCAAGTTTGCCAAGAGTCTTTGGAAATGCAAAACACGCGAACCAAGTCTGCATAATGCTTGTGCAAACCCCAAATCTTGCTGCGATTCGACCCCGGGATACAAAGAATTTATTCGTTATTCGATTTTCACTAATACCATATCGGTTGATCCACAGTATGACAATTCTTGATTTCTATGACCCACATCGCAAAAGCTCTGTCAGATTAAACTCGAATCATCGCATGTCTTGCAACGTCATTGTCGAGATAAAAATGACCTCGTGGTGCCCTCGTTCCTGGACCCTGATCTACTGGCAGGTTTCTAGCCATCTGGCCTTTCAAGTACCTAGCAGTGTGTCACAGCTGGGAAATTGGGCTGGGGGCTGGCTGTGGCTGGGGGGCTGGGGCTGGGGCTGCGGCTGGGACTGTCGGCCGGCCTGTGGGCTGCGGGTGGAACTGTAAAGTGGGGGGAAGTCTGAGCGAAGTGTTGACAGGTCGAGGGCCCGCGATGCCTTTCATGCCTGCCGTTGCAATGGGCTGTGTCTCACTTTTGGATCTGCAAGCACCAAAGGGCCCAGCACACCACCACTGTATCCTTTGAACTCTTCGACTTATGTTTGTGGATGTTCCGTTCTGGCAGAGCCAGACAATTCATGTTCCAACCACCCAAAACCAAAACCCTGACTTGCACCGTGAAAAGAACTAAGGAACGTAATGGAATTTGGCCTGGATCCTTCTGCCGGCTGTCGGTGGTCGCCAATCATCACATCAAGCGCTGTGGAAAGCCAGAAGGCAGACTATTCGCGGCCGGAGTGCCCAAGTTGCTGCGCTTCATCCCGTAGCGCCACGTCTACTTGTTCAAGCAAGTTATGTGTGCTTGCTACCAACTTGGCCCCACATGCGCATCAAAAGCAGTAGGTGCCGGTCGTTTTCTTTCGGCACTCTGATTTCCGTTCCTTGCTCATTTTCTCTGTGCCCAAGGCCAAAGGCAACCCACTTCGTTTGACAGCTGCCTCCTTGGGCAGGTCCCTGCAGAGGCAGCACCGGCTTGCGTTCGATGCTGCAATCGGCACTAGCTGTCGCCGGGTCAATTGGCTCATCACCAGAGTGCATTTGATTATTGGATTAATTGAAATCAAGTTGAAGGAAATGTTGTTGCTTTTCTACTTGATCACCAGAAAAGGTCACATGATCTAAACTAATTCACCAAGTGGGGTCAGGATTTGATTTTTAAGCACCCCGCTCAGGAGTTGCTGCCCTTGGTCGGGTCCAAGTTTTCCGAGGAGCTGCTTAAGGTATTCGGCTGCCCCATCGGTGCTTGCGCGGCTTGGTAAGGCAAGCAGCATTCCGCATCGGAACGCCCAGGAAGCTCGAAAATGGTCTTCAGTTAACAACCGACCAGAAGAAGGCATATGGGGAAGGGTTACCCCGTCCAGGGTCATCGAAGTCCCCCGCTTCCAACCATCACGTCCAACCTTGCCCTACGCCACCTCCGCTTCCCCCCAACGCGACGCCCAAGTGCAGGAGCCAATCCGGGCCTGCGACTCCCAGGCTATGCCCGCCCCCCCCCGGGTTTGGAGGCACCCGCAAAGGCCAAAACTGCAAGGATCAAAAAGAACAATATGGAAGGCACATCCCTGACCTGAGAAAACATCGTGCTGCGCCATGCTTTGGAAAGCCCTCTCTCACTTACGTCCTGAAGACGCGCTCACTGTGCTGCAAGGAGCTAGCTTCCAAAAAAAACCATGCTTTCGCAAAGCCCTTGACGAGCAGCAACTGCAAGCTTACACGTGCTGTGAGTCTGCAGAATCTGGAGAGGCTCCTGGATGTGGACTCCTGTAGGGACGAGCATCGGTTTTTGCAGGGTGTTCGAACCCTGGGCTCGAACTCCTGGAGGGGGGGGGTTGGGGGGGGGGAACATATAACTCTCGAACTTAGGTCCTTAGGTTGAATCCAGGGTTCGAACTCTTGGAACCCTAGGTTCACCCAGGGTTCGAACATTTTTAACCCTAGGTTAACCCAGGGTTCGAACATAGAGTTCCCGAACCCAGGGTTCGAACATTGGGCCCTAGGTTAACCCAGCGTTCGAACACCTCCCCCGAATACTAAAACACGAAGCCGGGCCTCCCCCGAATACTAAATTACGAAGCACCGAATACTAAATTACGAAGCCGGGCCTCTTCCGAATACTACATTACGAAGCCGGAATACTAAATTCCGAAGCTCGAATACTAAATTACGACGCCGGTTTTTCTGAATTCTAAATTACGAAGCCGGCCTTCCCCGAATACTGACTTAAAAGGGTGAATTAGACTCATTCTCTACTCTCATTCTTTGCTCTATTCTTTTCAAAATAAGAAGACGCGTCTGTCTCAGGAACCAAGTACACACTGCTTTGCAGGCGTACAGGACACTCATCTGTGGCACAACAGCCACAGGATTGGTATCAGACAGATCACGTCTACATCATGTCCTATGCTGCAGTGCAAGCAGGCATGCTGATGTGGCAATGCCATCCGCCAATGCTGTCCAGATTGCAAAAAAAACAACAATAAACAAGAGGCTGGTTTTTAGACCACTTCTTAGTCCTCCTCTGATTTTCAATTGGTGCACAGCCCGCAGCAGCGCAGCAACCTGCTTCCTCGACTGATTGTCAGCCTGTCGTCCATGCTTTTGAGGCCCCAGTCGCTTTCGACTCGGACGACGAAGTGTTCCCGCCTGAGTCTGCTGTTGCTTCGCTTGGGAGCCAGAGGCCGCCCCCTGTTGCGCGATTCGACATTCAGGCACACGCATGTCATGTTTGGCTTGTAATTCAACTGACTGCAATTTTCGCTTGCACCCAGCATGTGGAGGCATAGCTTCGTACAAAGCTTTTGAAGCTTTGCCTAAGTCGGCCCGCTTGTGCCGCCGCAAAGCATGCTTGCTACTTTCCGAAGCGAAGAGCCCGCTTGAGCAAAAAGAACGCTGTCTCCATTTTCCTATCTACAGGGAACCATGACCGGAGCCAGCATTGAACTCAACACAGAGCTTCGGGCTCCAACAGTGCGGGCCAGACCCTCGGACACTTTTCTGACGATCCGCGGTGGCACCACGGGCATGTACCTGGACGGCACCGTTTTCACCGCATCCACCATTCAAGCGGACCCGGGGTTGGTGTCTTCGCCCGCCTGGCTCACCTTCGTTGGCGGCACCACTGGCATAGAGCAGGTCTGTACCCTTGGCGCAGACTGGCCTCGAAGGCGTCCAATTCAGATTGTTCCAGATCCTCGTGAGCTTGCGGTACTGATAACCGTACATGCAGTAAGTCACGTCGACCCACGGCAGGCCAGCCATGAAAAGCCGGTGCTTCAACAAACCCGTGCCTGGGTTCTCTATTGCCCAAAACTTAGGCTCCAGCTGTTGGATCAGCTCGAGCGTTCGCAGCACGAGCCTGTCGGCCACTTCCAGTCGCCTGGGCCTACGCGTGAGCGCTCGACTGTACTCCGTGCAAACGGGGAAAGCCCAGATGAAATCAAAGTGACCAGAAACTCCGGGCTCCAAGAGCAAACGTCTTGGCGTATGGCGGGGTTGGCACTGGGATCCACGTCCACGCTGGTGACTTCCCAGCAGCTCGTGGAAGGCCCTACCCACCGAGCCTGTTCCCGAGAAAAGTTCTAGCATTCGGCGGGGCATACTGATTGTCGTCGTCTATTTCCATGATCGGTTCAAGGGCCAGCCACAGCAGAGCAACCAGACCGGCGCACAGGCATAGCTGCAGCTGACGCCAGTCTTGCAGTTGCTCGGACACTTTTTTGTTGCGCCTCTTTAAATAACAGGAGTTGACGCCGACAAAGGAACTTAGTCACCATGGCGCTCCATCTTGGCGACGTACAGACCAACCTCAAGGGCGGCAAGTACTTGCCCGCCGAGCCACCCGTCTGCTGAATCACCAAGCAGTGGGCCGAAATCATCTATGAGCCTTCGGCAAAGGTGAACCAAACGAACGCGTGAGCCTGTGCCTGGAGCTCACCCACGAAATGCGCAGCAACGTCGAAGCGCTCGAAAAGCAGGTCACCAGCAACAAGGTCGAGGGCAAAGCGTTACAATCCTGCATCAAGCCCACCCGCGGCAAGGTCCAGTGCCTGAAATTGAAAGTCAACCTGACCAGGGTGCGCTTCTGGAACGACCCACAGAGCTGCGAGGGCGCAAGGCCCTGGTGGCCGTGGAGGTGCGCCAGCTCTGGATCATGGGACAGCAGTGTGGCCTTTTGATGGAAGTCAAGGACGTGAAGTTGCAGGACGCGGCTCAAGAGTGCCCTCTCTAAAAGAAAAGAAGCAGCTGGAAAGATTACTTACAGCCTCCATGGAAACCTTTCCCATCAAAAAAGCTGGAACCTGAATTCAAGAATTCGTTTGTTCCCCTCTGAATTCGGCGGACAGAAGCTTTCGAGCGTTTCGGTTGCACACAAATGGAAAAATACCTCCCAGCAATGAACGCTGAGCTGGAGCAGCGTCAGCAAACGTTCACCAAGAGCCCTCCGAGGCTAACCTGGTTCATCTGATCGACGCGTGGTCTGCGGGATGGAAACGTAAAGGCAGGACTGACCCGGCGCTTATAAAAAGTACTGTACCTTGGGACTTTACGCGCACGGAGGCATCGCCTCTGACGATGAAGCGGCTTGCTTGGCCGTGAACCATTTTCTGCGGGACAGGTTTCCATATGGAACTTGGACTTCCATCGCCATTCTCTGCAATCCAAAGATCGGCGTTCAGCGAGACATCCCAAAAATGAAAGACCATCCGAACCACGCCATCACTCTGGGTTCATTCATGGGAGGCCGCGTATGGGTCGAAGATGACGAAGGCAAATTTCCCGCAGAAGTTACGATGCGAAAGAAAGTGCGTCCTCTCATCGGCATGTGGCACGACATCCACGACAAGCCCATCACTTTAGATGGGAGACGGTTCCATCAGCTCGAACCCCATGAAGGTCATATGTGGGCCTTGGCTCCACCCCGCAAGCTTTCAAGCACATTTGCGCTGAACTTGCCTCTCGCCTCGACCGTCTTGGATTTCCATCTCCGACAAATTCTGCCGGTCGCCTAAGTAAAAGCAGAGATTCATTTCTCGCATGAACTGCCAGCTAGCTACAATTCATTTCCGGCGACATGGCACTCGCGCTCAACGCATTTGCACGCAGTGCGAAATAACAAATACTTTCCACATCGGGGGCGCTGTCTTCAGCGTCAAAGATGAAGATTTCTGTGAGTTTGACATTCAGGACCACTGGACCTTGTGTCTACCCGGCGCAAGTTCCCGAGATCGGTCGCGCGCATGGCCACTGGCTCCGTGGTTGTTTGTGAGGCGCTTGCGGGTCTTAGTTGGCCCTACACGGGCATCTCAACAACACGGGGCGCGCGGACGGAAAACGCTAGAATCTAGAACCGATGCCTCCGGCTCACTCTGAAAAGGCAGCCAGTCGGGAACCGGCACGCGGGCTTTGCCTGTACTTTCACTGCAACAAAGTGACTTGGCCACGTCGCATCCTCCAGAGCAGGCCTAGGCATTCTCGCTCTGACTGACCTAGACCCCAGAAGCCCATGCCGCAGCAGTGAGCTCCTGTTAGCCCTGGCGGCTGCCCTGGCTTCTCACTCTCACTCACCAACACAGGACAGGAACCAGCTTTCTCGCTCTTACTAACAGCTCCGAAAGAAACCCAGCCACAGCTGATTCGGGCAACACAGGCACCGAGCCTATTCTGACCATGGCCTGCTGCTTGGCCTGTTCCCTGGCTGGGCTCCAGACAGAGAACAACATCACCCTACGGGAACCCCAACAGCACAGGAATGGGGCCAGGAGATCTTGTCTCTCTGGTCGATCTCACCTTTGACGCCTCCACACTCGGCGAGTTTCTCCCCTGTCGAGGCAGGGCCGATGGGGCGCAGTACAGCAGGACAGTTCAACGAACCAGTGAGTACCTTGGTTCCGACGAGCCTACCTGGCTGGCGACGCAGTCCGCTTTCGAGTCAAGAACGTGCGGCACTCACGTCCTTGTGGCAGGGCGCCACGCGAGCTTCGCCGAAGGCTACGTGTGTCCTTGAAGTGTCAATGGTGGAAGAAACACGGCGAAACACCTCCACGCTGGTGGCAGGATCACGCTGAGCATGAGCCATGAGCAGACTGAAAAGATGGCTCGTTTGCACGTGATTTCCACGCTTCGAAAGCAGGGTTGGGTACTGATCCTTTTCTTAACAGCGTGGCAGATGCCTTGACAGTGAAAGCAACGTCTACTTTGCACTCGCGTGCCGAATGCTCTTATGAGGTATGTTGCCTGGGCTTCGGGCAAGACTGCGATAGTTTTTCCTGCCGCTGAGCCTCTTGTGTATGCTTACTTCGATGATGTGAAGGACAAAGCTGCACCGACTTCCTTGAAGAGTGTTCTCTCCGCTTTTGCCTTCGCAAAGTATGTTGTGGGCTTGAAGGGTGTTGATGAGATTTTGGAGTCGGGTCGTGTTCGGGGCCTGGCAGCTCGGCTTTTCTTGCAGAAGAGGAAGCTCCTTCAACGAAACCCCTTGAAAGTCGAACATGTTGCGCTGCTTGAGAGAATTTGCTGTGGTCTTGAAGGGAGGTCCCTGCAAGATAGGATGGCAGCGGGCTTTTTCCTTTTCCTAGTGCACGCGAGAGCCAGATTCTCCGATGCCCAGCGTGTGTGCAAGCTCCTTTTTGTGCGCCTGATCAGCATATCTCGAGGTCCACGTTTCGAGGAGCAAGACCAGCTTCTCCCTCGAGAGGAAGGTTGGTTCTTGCCGATGGCAGCTTGTGCTTTGGGTCTGTTGGGTCTCAGGTGGGCCGATGCTTGGATCGATGTCATGGAAGAATGTGATTCGATCCACGAGGATTTGCCCCTCCTGCCGTGTCCGGGTTCCAACGGGACCTGGAGGAATGTGTCTCTGCCGTGTGACCAGGCTTGTGTGTGGCTCAGGAGCCTGCTTGCCCAGGGAGTGGGCCCCGATGAGTACTTGAACAATGTGGGTTCGCATTCGTGCAAAAGAACAATCCTCTCTTGGGCCAGCAAACGTGGTCTGCCAAGGGACCAAAGGGCCATCTCAGGCTATCATACTTCGAAGTCTGCCGGTGTGGGCACGGAGCTCATCTATGAAGTCGATGCTCAGTCGGCCCCCCTCAGGGCCATGGCGTCGATGCTGCGTGAGGTCCGCTCTGGGAAGTTCATGCCTGACAACCCCAGAGGGCAACAGCTGGCAGAGGAATGTGAGAGGTCCGATGAGGAGGATCCACCTCACTCCGAGGATGATATGGCGTCGTCTTCGGGCTCCTCGGTCGACGAAGAAGAACGTGACCACTCAGAAGATGAGCAGGCCGTCGCCAGGACTATGGAGAGGTGGCCGGGCAGAGTGGATGAGCGGCGGCTGCCAGGTGATGCAACGTACTTCAGGCACCGCCAGTCGAGAGTCATCCACCTAACCGCTGATGAAGCAGGAGCACATTTGATATGTGGAAGGGCGTTGTCTGTACAGTATGGGCGATGCCATGAGCGACCTGCAGTTTTGCATCCTAGGTGTAAGCAATGCTTTAGAGCATATGTGGCTTGATGTGAGATTTCACTTGTGCATAGAGCATAAAGGGTGTGTGCGATGCCCACGATTTGCTCACTTGCTGCGCCCCCCTGCTTTTTGCATGTGCTCTATGTCCATGAATGTGATGTTCGTGCTCTACGTCCATGTGAGAGTTCTCTCTTGAGAGTTGCCTACATGTCATGGCAAACACAGATGCTTTACCAGCTCTGAGCAGGTGCCAGGTCTCAAGCCTAGTTTGGGTGGCCGTCAAAGATGGCTGCGTACTCGGAGAGTGGTCCAGTGTTCTCTGCGAGATGTGTGAAGGTAGGCTTAGAAGAAGCTGATGTCGCGGCCCTTAAACGGGCTGGCATCACTACTCTGGCCCGGGTAGCCTTCATGTCAAGCTATACGCCAGGATCGGGCGATGACAAGGAGCTCATCGCCGCGTTTGAGACGGCACTTGGAGGCCCGGCAAGTTTGGGGCAGAAGGCAGCCTTTCGCAGGTTGTTCCATGAGAGCTTTGCTGTCACTACGAGTGAAATGCGCTCGTTGGTGGAGCGGACCGATGAAACAGCGCCTAGGAAGCTTTCGGTGCCGGAGCGCTCCGAGAGGTTCGCTGCCATCGTGAAGAAGTTGCCGGGGTTGGACATCCGGAATCGAATGGAGCCATCAGATGCTCTGGTGGATGCGTGTGTCGCCATCTATGAGCAGAATCGCCTCCAGTACCTGGAGTGGGATCGTCTGACAAGCAAAGAGCACGAGGCACAGACGAGTGCCAAGAGAGAGTCGGTCTTGTCCATTGACAGCTCGGGGAAACTCAAGACTGAGAAGCCTGACCCGGGGCGTGCAGACACGTCCAGTGAGTTCCTCATCCACCTTGCATTGTCCCGTCGAGGCATTGCTTTTGAGATGGCGAATCTCTTAGATTTTGTCCATCACAGCCGTTGGGTAGAGAAGCTTCTGAGTGCACGCTTGGACGTTGTTCCTTCCTCTCACAATCTACCAACCTTCATGCAGTTGCAGGCTGCAGATCGCAAGTTGTTCCAGTGCCTTGCTGATCAGACACGTGCCGGCCTCCAGGTCACAGCATCGGGAAGGCCTTTGGATCAGGTGTTCGAAGCCGCCACCTGTTCAACGGAGGTTGTCAGCTTGATGCAGCCATTGCCTAAGGCTGCTGGCGCTGGCTCTGAGAAAGAGCGTAATGGGCCTTACGGCTTTCCGCCGCCCCCTCCTGGAGGGAAGGGCCGTGGAAAGGGGAAGCGAGGTAAGGCTGCCGTTCGGCAGATGAAAATGCCCCAGGGGCTGGAAGGCTGTCGGAGCCACACGAACGGCGGAGACCCCATATGTTTCGGATACGGTCTCAAAACTTGTCGCGAGACCGTCACTCGCGGCAGGTGCCCGAAAGGCCTACATGTCTGCGCTGTTCCGCGGTGTGGCAAAAGCCACCCTGCAACGGATTGTCGCTGGTTCTCTGAGAAGCTCAGCCACGGTAATGCGCCATGGCTTTACGCAGCCGGCGAGGCATACCGCCAGATTGGAGCATTGGAATTGGTGGCAACCCTGGCAGCAGTCGTTGTCTTTGGTATCCCGAAAGGTGCGGAAGGCACCTTTCGTTGCTCTGCTGCGACGGATAACCAAGGCAATAGCCGTGTTGTAGCACGTCTGCTGACTACGAAATTTCCATTGAATGTCTTCTTAATGGAGCTTGCCGCGCAGCTGCAACGCAGGAGCGCTGAGCTGGATTTGTATTGGCTCCCGCGTCTTCAAAACATTGAAGCAGACGAGTTGACCAATTCGATCTTCCACAGATTCGCAGAAGGCAACCGCTTGCGTTTTCAGCTGGCTGAGTTCAAAGGCATTGTGCTGGATTCGATGCTGGAGGAAGGCATGTCCTTGTACAAGGATATTGCATCTTGCCGGGCGGCCAAGAGAGCCAAGCAGTCAAGCAAGCTTCCGAAGTCACAGGCCCTGCGTGCTCGGGATCCTTGGCAGTGAAAACGGCGCGAGGCGTTTTAAGTTTTAACGTGCTGGTACTTGCAGGTTGTGTCGCGTCCAGGGTCTCTTTCGCCTGAGGTTGGGGTGGGGATTTTCGATTCGGCCCTGGCCTGCTTTGAGGAGGGATCTCTTCTTGACAGGGCCGTTCAAGAGTCTCACTTGTGGCTGTTGAGATTGCTTGAGACTCGTGACTCCTCCATCTCAGGGTTAAAAGAGAAAGTCCCGTGCGCCGCTTGTGCACTCGCGTCCTCCTTGCTGCTAGGCTAGGGTCCCTTTGGCAGGGTGCTGTTGCGTAGCTAAATACTTCCCGCGAGGTGCATGCGTGCATGTATCTAAGTGGGAAGTATGTGCGTTGCAACAAGGTTTGTCTTACGCGGTTTGCGCTGTTGCGCGTTGTTGCGTTGCGCAGGCGCAAGGTGAAAGGTCAAGCGTGCCGTGCAATGCTGCAAGCTTGTGGCTCTTCCTACAGGGCTTGTAGTGGCAGGAGGGTTCACCTCGTGTGTTAGCTGAGCCCTGTGTGAGCATTTTGCTTTTCCCGCCCACCACGACCCTGCAAAATGTGGGGGGTGGGGATTTTCGATTCGGCCCTGGCCTGCTTTGAGGAGGGATCTCTTCTTGACAGGGCCGGTCAAGAGTCTCACTTGTGGCTGTTGAGATTGCTTGAGACTCGTGACTCCTCCATCTCAGGGTTAAAAGAGAAAGTCCCGTGCGCCGCTTGTGCACTCGCGTCCTCCTTGCTGCTAGGCTAGGGTCCCTTTGGCAGGGTGTTGTTGCGTAGCTAAATACTTCCCATGGGGGGACTTCTTGATTGCCCCGAGTACCTGCGCACACAAGCCAGCCTGTGGAGCATGGATGGCCCCGGCATTGCAAGGGAATCACAAGCAAGCCTTCCGGGAACGTAAGGTGGCAAGCATTGTGTTGCCCGTGGAGCGCAAGGTTGGGCTGGACCTCTTCAGTACGCCACCCCTGGACCAGGCATGGGCACTGAAGGCAACCTGGGGAGAGACACGCAAGGTCCCACGTCCAACTCCTACTCTGGCACAATTGCCAGTCTGCAAGCGCGATCTTCGTATCCCCTAGCAAATGGGTGAGGTATTCAGCCACCCCGTCCCCTTTCCGCACTGGTTGAAAGGGGACACAGTACTGCACTGGGCAAGGGCTCTAGGACGAAGCCACGGACCTGCCCGGCACACAGACCCGGCTTTTGAGCATAAGGCCGGGATCCAGCAAGCCCCACAAGGCCTTCGCCTCCTGCCCGTTCGAACGGGCAAATTTGAGTCGGACACTGCGATTGATTGATGTGGACTCTCCGGGAAACAGCCCTGTGCCCGCGAGTAGTACCAGCCTCGATGAGAGGGTTGTCTCAGGAGTGGTTGCATCGACACCAAAGCAATCTCCTGCCCCGGGCCGCCTCATGGCGGAAGATGAACCACGTCATGGACCAGGCCTGGGTCCAAGGCTGCCAGGGAATCTGTTGCTGCTGCGGTCAGTCCGCCGCCGCATCCCAGTCGTGATGTGTCCCGCACCCCTTGTGGCACTCCCAGAAAAGCCGGCGAGCTGGTGTGCCGGAACCCTGATACGCAGGCAACCATCGCAGACCCTCAGTTGGCCGCTTCCTGGCTTGACCCCCATCGCTGCTGGGCAGGTGCCCATTGCCCATGTCCGCAAGGAAAGTCGGCCCCTCGCACAGGATCACGACGGTTCTCAAGAGCCGCTGGAACCGCCAAAAGCCAAGCCGAGAGGGCCAAGCGAACCCAGCACCACTCGCGATCCCTAGCACCTCAGCCAATACGCCCCCAATGCAGGGCAACACAACATCGGTCTGTGGGCTCATGTGGCGTGCACTCCAAGCAGGACATCACTTTGGGAAGAATGTCAAGCCTAGACCCTACATGAGCCTGCGTGACTCGAATCATCTCACGACGCATTGCGCAGCTTCGTGCATACAGGACCTATGAAGAGTTGTTAAATGGCTTACCACACCAGCTACAGGATGCGGACGCGTTGATAAAAATCGCAGACACCCTTCTTCATCTGCCTGAGACTTTCCCGGCGTCTTATCTGAAGGTCTACGACCCCATCATTGCGCAATGCCTTCGGTTGTCGGGAGCGCTGCAACATGTTGACCTTGCGAATATGTTGGCTTGCCCGGTTCCGCAGTTAGATAAAGCAAGACTCTCGGAGTCCCTGGTAGGGTATGGGTTCCTGACCACTGCCCAGTATATTGCGGATCTTTTCTTCGCGGTGGCGGATATGCCGAGCGTCATCAACGCCAGCTTTCCGGCCATGATGTGCTACGCTGACCCGGATTATTGGCTGGGTGCGCTCCTGCTCGCATTTGAATCCCACCAAAAAGGCCCCCTGGAGCGCACTGCCGGACTGCCCATTGTTGTGGGCTTTCCCGAATCCGACCACAGGATTACTGACCTCCAGGTCAACGTGCCGCCAGCGGCCATGGTGGCTTTCCTTGCCGGCCGCGCTTGTCGGATGCGTACATGCCCTACAACCAAGTACACGGTGGACCCGAGTAGCGGACTCCCTCAGGTCAGTGGGCAGGTGTCCCAGGAGGCCTTGCAGGCATGGGCGGCGGCCGCCAAACACACGGATATGGAAGCGGCCCGGCTCGCACAGCAGCCTAGCCTGAATGCGTTCCTTGGAATTTCGCTGCAGGGCTCACAAGCGCTTGGGCAGCGCCAGTGCCAAGAGTTTAAGCCGGAGTTGCCCCCTGCCCATTTTCTTGAGGCCATCAGGCTCGCCCCCCTCGCGGCCGCGCTTACCACCTTCCCCTTCAGTATCGGGACGAAGGTGTGGTGCAATATCGGCAAATACAGGATGCCATCCGGACGATGTGGCAGGCAGCACAAGCCTCAATGAAACGGCACATAGGGGGCTCCATCCCAACTGGCATCCCTGAGTGGGGGGAAAGCGAGGAGGAGTTGCCACAAGTATCAGGAGGACGGGCCCATACTGTCTCTGCAGGCCACCGCCCACGACGCCCTGACTGGGAAGGCCCTTGGCAATAATCCCTCACACCTGCCTGACTGACCATTGGATTGTATTATCTGAATCGGTAGCTGTCGCTACTCAATGGCTTGCGTAATGGGAGCCTCCAGGGAGCCTGCTGCTCTTGGCTGCGGCTGCGGCTGCCCCACTGGCCGGCCACCACGGGGAACCCTGGGCTGGTCCGCAGTGCTCACTTGTAAGTCCCCAGCGGTTGACCACCATGGGGCGCACGGACGCTTGTAATAGGAAGTTTCCATGGCACCCCAACCTGCCTCGGCGACTGTGGTGAGGTGTACAAATTCAAGGTGCCTGAGCCCTCGGCCCTTGTAGTTGACCCTGCCGTTTCCTCTTGCCTTGTGGAAGTAAGGATTCGTGCAACATTGGCAAACCCTGATGTCCACTGCTCCGCTCTGTGCAGGGACTGGCGTTTCTCCCAGTAGAACCGGTCGCTACTGACGCGCATTGACCTCCCTTCTGGCTGGTTGATGTAACTTGTCGGGACGGGAACACCCTTCTGGGCGGGCGATGCGGTGAGCCTAGTGGAGTGAGTGCCTCTCGCCCGGGGCTGTACCACTGGCTGGCCCCCATGGAGTACTCTGGGCTGGTCTTGCCTTGATTGTTCATCGGTTATGTCCAAGGTAAGACTGCCCAGTCTTCCTCTCCTCCGCCCCTCTTTGACCGGATAGGTTGCCCTTTCTGTGCTATGGCACTGCAAAAACCCCTCGGCTTTGAGACCCAGCAGCCGCCCACACTGGTTGCCCCACCGCTCATCACGGGACGATACAACGCTTGACTCATAGTGAGTCATGGCAATGCGATCCTCCCCTTTGTGGTATCTCGGCCGAAGGACGACTCTGGAGAGGCCAATGCAGTGGTGCTGCTTCTACCAGGTTGCGGGCATTTATGTCTGAAGAATATACACCCACTGGAGTAACCTGGCCTTCAAAAGGGCCATCATCGCCTATGCTTGGCCTGTGGCAGGGCTGGCTGGCTCTCCGCTCGCTTGGATGCTACCTGACGGCGCCACCTAAACGAACGCTGTGTATACCATGGAGATCTTGGGCTCTTGCAGGCTGCCAAAAGTGATGTGAGCCCTCACATCTCCTTGCCGACGTACCTTATTGGCTTTGGCTCTGGAGGGACCACTGCTTACCAAAGTGCAGTCTCCGAGACCGAGCTTTCGGGCTTGCGTGTGTGGCCTCCCCTCTGGCTGTCTGTTGAGACATTGCTTGCACGCGGACATCTTTCCAGGTGGGCGCAGCTGCAAGCCAGGGTGAGCGGGGAACCTTCGCTCGGGGCTGCTCCACTGGCTGACCACCATGGAGTGCCCTGGGCTGGTCTTGCCTCGATTGTTCTTGCTGTTAAGTCCCCACTGGCTGACCACCATGGGGCATACGCACGTCTTTCCTCTCCTTGGGGAGTTTGACCTGTCACACACCTTTGCCACTGCGGGCTTGTTATCTGTCCTGGACGACGGGTACGGGATCCTGACGGTCGAATATCGACTCTGGAGAGACCAATGCGGCGGTGCTGCGGGCACTTCTACGTGGAGAATAGGCACCTACTGCCCTGGCCTGGAGATATCGAATACCTGTGGAATAACTTGGCCTTCAAAAGGGTCATCGTCGTCTGTGCTTGGCTTGTGGCAGGACAGGCAGGATCTTCGCCCGCCTGGATGCTACCTGACGGCATCGCCTGGACGAAAGCTGTGTATACCACGGAGATCTTAGCGCTCTTGCAGGCTGCCAAAGTGATGTGAGCCCTCACATCTCCCTGCCGACGTATCTTATTGGCTTGGACTCTGGAGGGACCTTTGCCTGCCAGATTGCGGTCCCCGAAACCCCGGCGAGCTTTCGGGCTTGCGTGTGTGGCCTCCGCTTTGGCTGTCTGCTGAGACTGTGCTTGTGCGCGGACATCTATCTGGGTGGGCGCAGCTGCAAGCCAGGGTGAGAGGTGAACCTTCTGCTCGGGGCTGCTCCACTGGCTGACCACCATGG